ACCCCTACACCTATCTCTTGTCTTAAAGGCCAGTTTAACTATGATGAGTAATTTTCTCTAAGCAGAAAGCTATTGCAACTATGTTCTGCTATCACTTTTTTTTCACTTCTTCAGATTACTCTCCTTAAGGCTATATTATATGATCCATATCAAGACTGTCCCAGACATAACACGCAGTGAAATGGTGGTAAATGCTTAGATAAAAACTGTTTTGGTCAGATTTTTGAGCTGCAGTATAACACACCCAGTTACCATGGATATGGATGAGACAATCCCAATTCACTTCCTACTGCTCTATTTAAAATTACTGATTGATTATGACTAATCCCACTATGCTCTGAGGGGACATTATCTTTCCATACTTGGCAAAATGGTATTCATCTTTGCCAGGTAATAATCACAGATTGATGCCTGACAATATTGGGACACTTTTCTGAAAAAGGAGCTTTTCTAGCTGGAAGATTTTTAAAAACTTGATCAATGGTCCTCTACCTACAGCAAGCAGAGTTTGATGATTTGTGACCTCTGATTGATTTAGTCTGGGAAAGTGATCAGTAACTTATTATTACATTTCTAAATAGTTTACTACCTAGACATTTCCTTTTGTTCAATGTTGCTGCTCTCCACATATAGTTAAAGCCTGTCATTTTCTCAATTTATTATTATATTATCTGGTTTTCTAAGAATAATGAGGTTTGGAATATGTATTATGGTTTTATTAACAAGCTACAATGTTGTCCAGGGTTTGAATCCTTATTGGGGTTGAGAAACTTGCTCAAGCCCAGGTTAAAATGTCAGGATGTGGAGAAAGGGAGGGGTTCCTTTGCTGTAGGAAAAAGGATTCCCCAACAGATTAAAAAAACTCCTCTTAGGCCATTTTAATATATAACAGAGGATGAAAACCAAGTCTCCTAAAGAGAAGGTGCTTCCTATAATTATTTTCTCTCTCTCTCGGAAACCTGAAAATGACTTTTCTCCTCCTACTTTCCTATTCTCGTCTCTCCTTAGTGGTACTCAATTAGAGTTAAACCATGACTGAAAAGCCTTTTTCATGGCGGTCTCCTGAAGAACTCGCTGCCTTTAGTCAGACAGGGCTTCAGAAAAGCGTGGGGCATCGCCTTAGGAATGAATTTCACTTAACAGTCTGTTTTTAAATGGTGTACATTTTATATTTAAGATTTTTGGGATGGATGTAAAATAGATTTGTATTAAAACTTGTAAATTGTATAAAGAAACCAAGAGCACCTGATGTGAATGGCAATAAATGATTGTCTTTGATACAGTAACGTTTTCTGCAAATTGTCTTCTTTGGAGAACAAACGGGATAGACTTCATTGTAGGTCACATCACTCGCTTATCTGAGCACAGTTCTGGAGATTGACAACATATATGGCTGAAGAGCTCTTGCTCTCAGGAGTGGGAAAATACTAAGATTTTATATTGTGGAGAAAGCAGTTTTATGAGGCTTGGTATTTGACTTAATAACCTCTTCAAGTATGCTCCTTAATATAACATAGCCCTGCAAAGTATATGTTGCAGATGAGAAGGAGATTGAAAGAAACAAGTGCCTCTTAATTAGTTTCCAGATAAAGTAAGATATGAACCAGAGACTTAGTGATTGCAACTGAATACACACTAACCTAAGAAGTCCCATTGGATTTCAGGGAACTTACTTTCAGAGACCTATATATTTGTAAAGTTGGTTCTTTGGAAGGATTGACTTACTTGTGATTAAATGGCTAAATGACAACTGGTTTGTATTCTCCTCCTCCCACCAACAGCCTTTCAAATCAAAATAACATTGTTAATGAGATTTGGAGTGAAAAGACCTCACAAAGTGACGAATAGAACAATTGCCTTTATTAGCTGTGGACTGTGAGGTCTGATGTGGTGTTCCAGCCTTTTACCACTTACATGAATTCACATGATTTTCTTTAAAATTATTGAGCCTTAGTAATACCACACTTAGAATACTGCATCCCGTTTTGGTTGCCATATTATAAAAAAGATACAGAGACTCTGAAAAGAATGCAGAAAAAAAGCGACAAAGGTGATTAGGGGGCTGAAGGCTAAAACATATGAAGAACGGTTGCAGGGGTTGGGTTTGTCTAGGCTAGTGAAGAGAAGGACGAGGGGGGACATGAGAGCAGTGTTCCAATATCCGAAGGGCTGCCACAAAGAAGAGGGGGTCAACCTATTCTCCAAAGCACCTGAAGGCAGGACAAAAAGCAGCAATGGATGGAAACTAATCATGGAGAGAAGCAACCTAGAACTAAGGAGAAATTTCCTGACAGAACAATAAACCAGTGGAACAGCTTTCCTTCAGAAATCGTGGATGCTCCATCACTGGAGGCTTTTAAGAAGAGATTGGACGACCTTTGTCTGAAATGATATAGGGTCTCCTGCTTGACCAGGGGGTTAGATTCATTAGAAGGCCTACAAGGTTCCTTCCAACTTTGTTATTCTGTTATTATTAATTGCAAAGTACAGCCAGACTGAACCATCAAATTCTATCGATAATTGTCTTAGAATTGGAAAGCAGATGCCTCTGGCCTCAAGGTCCCTTCAAGTCTGTTAGGAAGGCCCATTTCGTCTCTTGTGGCAGCTCCTTTTGAAATGTTTTACACATTGAGACCTGAGAATTTGTATATTCACATTGTATGTACCTGAACTGTATAGTTAGCACTCATGGTCTCCAAAGAAAACTTAAGAGTTCCTTAAGCTCTATCTGCTAAATCTAATAATATATTCACACAGTCAATTCATCTGAAAGCAAAAAGGAGACTCAACTAGCCAGGCAAGGCCATTAAAAGGAAAATTATTTCCACTATTTAATACCATCAAATTGTAAGGTGTGTTAGTGGAAAACAATAAGCCATGATTAACATTAAACAAGATTTAAACTTTTAAAAACGGTCAGATGTTCTCACGAAGTAATTTCCCCATCATTTCCTACCCCAGGGCTGGTTAGACTCAGCTGCATCCATACATAATTTACACAGCATACAATATATTTAAAATAAACTACTAGTTCTTTAAAAATAAGCATTCTTTGAAAGAGCAAATAAAAACCAAACAGACTGGATTCTCTCAGCGATAAGGAGAAAGCATAGCATTTTACTGCCTCCTAGTGGCTCAGACAGTAATGTGGTTCCACCCAGTTCATAAAATACAACAGGCCTTTGATTAGTAAATATATAACAAACCCACATTTTAAAAATATATACATATCTTTAATTGTTTTTTACAGTTTTATCAACAGTGGGGAAAATGAACTCTGCCCGTCAGTAAAGTGTGAAATGTATAATCTATTTAGAAAAAAGTTGTATAGGAACCCCTTTTGAAAAGGGCCACTGGTTGCAGCTATTATTCTTATAGCCCTAGTCATCGACCGAAGGGTGACTAATCCACTTGACACTGGATAAAAAGAGTAAAACATGAAGAGAAACTAGACCTAGGGCAAAAAAAACTGCTAAAAGGCTCCTTTATCTCGCCAGTCCTAGTTACTATTTACCCTCCCCCTTCTTGTTTCTAAGAAATCAGCACTTGTATTTCACGATTCATCGCTGAAAAAAAGAAAGAATTGTGCTTTCTGGGTTCCATCAGCAGAGGGCTTCCTAGCAATGAAGGGAGCCATTACCCTCCTGATAAAAAAAACCCCTTCAAACAGCAGAAACCTTCAAAAGGAGACGGGCGCTATCATAGTTTCAGGCATAATTAAAATAAAATCTTGGCTATAATCTATTTGTAGCTTATAAACAGAATTTGTGTGCAACTTCTCCCTTCTCTCACTTCAAAGATCATCTTCTCTGAAGTGAAATAGGGCCACAAGCCATAGCTTGGCTCTTGTCTTCTAGATTCTTGTCTGCGGGTTTAATAATAAGCTTGTAGGCACTCTTTGAGCTGGGGAAAGGACTAAGGGGGGCAGTTTTGCAAACATTTGGAGCCCAAATTCTGCCATTTTTCATTTCCTAAAAAAGGAATGGCTCTAATTAACTGTCAAAAGTGTTTTGTTCCCTGCAAAGAGCACTTAAGTGAAAAAAGTCACTTAATATGGCTACAACAGAAACTCAGTTGGCATGTTAACATATTTTTATAATCATTATCACTAGGCAGCAGCCCCAACCTTTTGGGCACCAGGGACTGGTTCCGTGGAGGATATGCCTGCATACCACTGATGGGGCTTCACTTATTTGCTGGCATGTCACGGACCGGTGCCTGTCCATGGACCGGGGACCCCTGCCCTAAGGAGTTTGCTAAACTAGTTGGCATTTCAGTCACAGAGTTTACTGAAAAGGGGAAAAATGGAAGACAAATCTCTTCTCTGCTCTCTGGTCTTTCGGTCCCGTGCATTGCATAAGTCCAAAGAATTTGGGAGAGGTCAAGCAGCTTTCAGTTCCTCCTAAAGCCTTGCTTTGAAATGTTGTGTGCAATTTTTTTTTTTGTGAACCACAGGCTACGGCATGTACTTTTCAAACAGGAAGGGATGGAAATTTAAGCCCACTGGTTATATAGGGTTTCCTGTATTGATCTGCTAAAAAGGCCTCAAGGATTTGCCTTGTTCTGCAAGCTGCCAACAACTAACCAGTGTGATGGGTCACTATTATCTGAAGAAATTGGCACAATGCTGCTACTATTGAAATGACAAAACCCAGGAACAAAGAACGAGTTAGTCTTGAGAAGAAATGTAGCTCTCTGTGGTGGGAGGAGACCTTTTGAGGAGAAGCTCACAGTGACACTGATCATCTTATTCCACAGTTAGCCTGAGCAGAGATACTTCTGCCTCGTTGCAACTGCAGTCTGGTGTGCACCACCATCAGTTCATAAGGCAGTACAGTTGCTCTGGTGTATAAGTAGAAACCAAGTCAATCTGCATTGGAGTGCTTGCTTCATCTTGTGTCAAAGCTGTAGGAAGCACCAGAGCATAAGTAGCTATTTAGGGTGGTTTCCAGCTGGAAGTGAAGATCTGGGAGCCTCTATCCAGCAAAACACGTTGAGTAAGCAAAATGCTAAAGTGCAGGAAGGAGAAACTAGAAGTAATTGTGAGACTCATCTCAGAGGTTGTCCACCTGTTATATATGTTAGGTTGGAAGCGTGAACCTATAAATGCATGCGGAGAAACTGGCGCTCAGTCCAACATGGCATCCAGCTGTTCAGCTAGGTCGTTGAACATGTTGCTGATGTCTTCAAGAATGTTCTTGGCTGAGTGTGTTGTCCCATAGCAACTACAGAAAAAGAAGAGAAATACCAAATGAATGCAGAGATCAATCAAAATAGACAGGTTGGCTGGATCTACCCCTTTTGTGGTAACTTAAGACCATTTCACTCACACGCTTTAGATACAATTGCTTATCCTTGTCATGGAAATGTCTTCCCCAAAACAGACTGCTTTCATACAGTAGACTGTATTTTACAGCTGTTTCGGTCTTTAAGGCACTGTTAAATATCTGTGCATTTTTCAGATTAACAACACCTAGACCAATTCTTCCATCAGAGAGAGAGAGAGAATAGAGATGTATCTGACCGTAGAAAGACGCTGCCAATTATTATTTAATTTAGTGATGTTGGGAGTTTTTATTCCTAGGATTTTCTATCTTGTCCAGCTATCATGGACAGGCTTTGGATAATGTGTACTCAACACAGAGGAGCAATGTGTGTTTGTCTGAAAGAAGAAAATAGGAAAAAGATGCAGAGCTGAATATGTTGGCTGTTTACCTTAAATCACATCTTCAAATATATTATAAAATATGTCCACATATGGAAAGATTTTTTAAATGTGTCAAAAAAAAAAGACAACTTTTATTTTGAAGTACAAAGCTCATGCACTTGAATAATTTATATTTGCAGCTTACCCTTTTCCCCTGATAGCTCACAAGACAGTTTATGGGGAAAAAATTGAAAAATTATAAAAACAATTAAACCACAAGAAGAAGTAAAAGTAATGAGTACTTTAAAGCATTTACATCAGCTAACAGGTTTGGCTCCAACGCAATAACTCCTTAGGTACATACAGGTAAGGTAAGGCATCTCTTTGTCTGTCTCTGTCTGTCTGTCTGTCTCTCTCTCACACACACACACAAACACACACTTTTCTTTTATCTTTTTAAATGATGGGTAGGTAGTCTTGGTGGTTAAATATGGCTAAAAAACTAAATCCTGACAAAGCAAAGAAAACGCTGGTGGTTCTTCCTGTAATAGAAGCTATATTTCCCTTTTTAAAACAGACACAGGAATTGCTTCCAAAACTCTGCTTTCTCTGGAAATAGATAATGAAGATTTATCGTTACTAAAAGGCTATTTTATTAGCTGCATCTTTACATAAGCGGGACTACACCCTTTTTCTAGGGCTGTCATTCTGATCTATGCATTTAAACTCTGAAGATGATAATGGCAACCAGACTGGCCTAATTTTGTCAATACAGATCGGTGCTACCCATCCATAACAGAGGCTGGCAAGGAGCAACATAACCAGCTGACTTTTTGGCAACTACTTCCAGGCTTGGTCTCTCTTGCACCCATATATGCCTAGCTACTGCATAGGTTTTCCCTGCTTTGAAGTCTGAGCAGGAATAGGCAAGAGGGTATCACAATTACAACAGAGTGAAAAAAATGTGTGGCTTTGAAGAAGTGGTCCAGACAGCTTGTTCCTATTGAGAAGGCTCTGTGGCCCTTTTACGTTGCTAATGCTACATGGTAGCAGTGGGGGAAGACAAATTGGGTGGAAGCACCATAGCTTGGGAGAAATGGGAGAGTCATTACAGACAAAACATCGTGTGTGTAATTTCACACAAGCCTACAGCTGAACTTGGAAAAAAAAATCTGAACACATTTGGTCCTAATGAATCAGAGCATGATGTCTGCGCATTAAGTGCTCTTTTTAGCAAATGGAGCAGCTGTATCCTGCATTTGGATATCTATCCCAATGCAATTTGAACACGCCTCCTTCAATGCCTTCTACTCACCTGTCTGCTTCCTCTGCAAGGATCTCCTTTTCGGCAGCCTCAAGTGTGGATGCCAAAGATGAACTGGTTTGTTCCAGACGCTGCTGGCTCTGTGTTATATCTGGGCACATGCTTGAAGCTCTTGGTGGAAGGGGCACCCCAAAATTTAAGGAAGGCTTATTGCTGAGGCCCAGTTTCATGGGATAGGGACCAGATACCTCCGACACTGTCTCAGGGGTTGCTCTGGAGGGACTTGTGTGGTGAGAGTTTGGCAAGACTTGCTGATAGATGGTTTTGGGTCCTGAAAATACCAGCTTGGTAGAAGCGATGGATGTCGGCATGGCCGTCATGTCTGAAATAGAAAAAAAGAAGAAGTTAGTGCTTAGTGTCCTGTCTGATGCCGAAGAGTCTTCAGAGTGTCCCATAGAGTTCAGGCAATAAGGTGCAGGAATGACAGGTGACCATATTTTCACAGAAAGAGCAAATAAATCAGGTGTACAGTAGCTTCTATAAAGAAGTAGGCCAGATCAGGACAAAAAACTAATCTGATTTAGATTAATTTTATATACATTTAAATTTATCAAGTATAATAAGTAGAGCTAATAGTGTTTACTATTAAGAATACCAGTACAGTAATAATACAATAATAATTTCCCCATCTGTCATATTACATTTTTTTAGTAGTAATCTTGGCAGTAGCTCTGGAAGTTATTGCCAACTTTCCCAATCCAGCAGCAAAACCTACAACCTACCTGTTGCCGTGGCCGGTATTCTGAGCTGGGCTGACCCTCCAGGCCTCTCACTGTGCGGTGGCCCTGGACTGGCTGGTTTCAAAGAGACAGGAAGCTTGCTAATCCCCTTCTCTAGGGACAGGATGCTTTTCTCTATCTCAACTATTTGGAACGCCATGTTGTCATCCTCCAACGGGCCTGTGGTAGGGAGCGGTTCCATCATGTGCAGCGAAGGCCCACTGATGCTGACTGTCTGGGCCTGGGCGTACTGCGGGGCGATGGTCATGCCAGGGCTTGGAGTGGCCATGCCAAAGGCCTTCAGGACATTTTGGAGAGGTTCCCTCTCTTTGCACCGGGGCCGCCTCTTGACCGTGTCGGATTCTGTGAGATTGAATTCCAACACTGGGGCTTCTTTTGCTGAAGCCCCTGAAGACTCTTTCCCATTGGACTGAGCAGGAGCAGAGTCTGAGTCTGGAGCCAGGGCCTCTGTTTTGAGCTGCCCCAAAGGCTTTGGTCGCTGTTTGATGGTTAGGTTGCCTTCTTCTGCAAAGGGGATGCACTCACTGGAGCTGTTTTGGGAAGAACAAGGGGATTTGGCACAGTCATCCTTCTCAGCTGGACCATCTTCCTCAGTGTCTGATCGGATATCTTCATGGTTACGCTGCAACGCCTCTGTCATGGTAACTGCTGATTCACTGAATGTTCGTCTCCTGGGAGTGTTGCCTTCCAAAACTTGACTTCTACTATTTAGGGTATTGGTGTTACCAAGGCCTCCCTGAACTGAATTGTGTAGGCCACCTTTCTTGGCACCTTCCTGACCACAACTGGGGATCTGAGAAGACTGAAGAGGCTGGGCTGGGCTTCCATCATAGATTGGCCTATCAAGCTTAGCAACTGTATTTTCCCCCAGGCAAGCTCTATCATTAGTATTATCCCCTTTGTCCTTGGAGACCAAGGATCCGTTCTGCATCTGTTGACCTTGTTCAAACTCTGCATCAACTGCTAAAGGGCTGGAGACTGAACTGAGGCGTTTAGGAGGTGGAGGTGGAGGGCCTTTTTTCCGGGCACGGATAGCAAAAGACTGACTGCGCAAGACTTTAGCTTCTGAAGGTGGTTGTGTGCGTGACACTTGACTGCGCCCAGGTCGCCTGGTTAGGGTAGCGTAAGAGCCCACTGAGCTACTGGCTGGTTCTTCTTCATCAGGTTCCCCATCAGACAGCGCATAGCGGTTCAAGCTTTGTGAGCGTTTCTTGTGCTTAAAACCCTCACCGTTTTGCAGTTCAGGCCTAGGCTTTGGGGGCACCTGAGGTGGCTCTGTAGGGCCGCAGTGGGAATGAAGGTAGGAGAAAGCTTTCTGGGCAGTTGACTGGAGGGTGGTCCTCTGGACAGACAAATGGGTAGATGCCTTGGCCTGTTCAGGCATGGAAGGTGGAGGAGCTGACTGGGCCTTCAGTGATATGTGGGGATACATGAAGACATATGGGGCTGTTCCCTTGCTGGCAGCATGGGGCAATGTGCAGGGGGAGGGGACTGGTAGGGGGCTTGATGGCTCTGGTGAAGCACTTGGTCTCTGGTAGTGATCCATCCCCTCGGGCAGATTTCTCTCCTTTAGGGGACTTCCCACACAACTGCTAGAATAGCCACTGGTTCCATCTGGTCCATTGAGCAATGGAATGAATTTCCCATAGTGGTCTGGGCTGGGTCGACCCTGGGTACTGGCAGAGTTCTCCGCAGGATGGGGCTGGGTGAAAGAATGCCCTCCACTGCTCCCGCTGCTCCCTTCGCCACTACCCAAACTCTCCTCAGAATGGCTAGAGGACGTGCTTTGGGACAGCATGTTCTCCTGGGAATGTCCTGATCCTCTAGAACGTGCACCAATGCTCTCTTGGCTCCGTGACATGCCTTGGGTACTCTTGATGGTCAATGTCTCTTGGCAGCTGTTGGACATGGCTGTCTGGAGCTCATGGCTCAGCTCACTGTCCTGAAAAGTGGTCATTTTGGGGGTGAGAGGAGAATGGCACTCCCCATTCTCCACGGTCTCAATGGTGACTATTTCCAAGGTACCAGGGATCTTGCGCCTAAGAGTGTTGACTTCAGCCTGGCTCTGACTTTTACAAAGATCAGTCAATCTCTTGACAGCCAGCATGATCTTCTTTTGGTGGCCTGCATGTCACACAAGAAAAACAAACTCAGCAATTGTATGGGAGCTTTTTCTTTCAATTTCCCAGTTCCCTACTTGAGGCCAGACTTGTGGGGCATATATTAATTTAGGTCATACGTAATTTCGTATATAAACAAACCTTATCACAAAGAGCAGATGAACAGGTGAATATTAGGTACAGTACCACCTTCGTTAAGACCAATGTGTATAATGATTAGAGCACTCTCACTCAGACATGATTGTTTGGTAGCTTTCAACCAGTCACTATGGCTCAACCTATCCCATCATCCCAGGCTAAGGAAGAGGAAGAAATGAAAGTCACATGACTCATTCCCAAACCGCAAATACATTAGACCTGAGGCTGATGAAGGGGCTAGCAGAGGGTGATGTAGTTGGATGTAGTAAGAATAGAGGATGGCTTTGAAAGGACAGAAGGAAGGTCCATTGCCAAGGAAATGATCAAATAAACAAGACTTGAGCCCAGACCAAGCAAGTGGTTTACAAAAACACCTCAGGTGTCCCTCCTCCCCAATTCACTTGAAGATAAAATGAGGAGGAAGGGAAGCACAACCAGACTTCAAGATTCTGTGACTGTGCTGTTCTAATAAAAACTTTAAATCTAAATGGGAGAGGGTCTTAGTCTGGTCTACCTCACAGGGCGGACATTGGGGAAGACACTTCTCATCCTAGGCAAGAAACCAATGTCACTTATTATAGGATAGCCTCATGCGCCTTGTTTAATTCAATAAGGAATGATTATCAGCTTCTAATCTTGGACTTTCAACCTGTCAATTACAATGCACGTAATTTAAAGTTAACAGTAGCACAGATAGAGTTTTGTAAAGGAAAGGTAGTTTTTGATAATGTAGAAAGCAACTTTAAAACTGCTCAGCTCAGAGCAGTGGCTCCATCTTCAGTTAACAATAATATCAAGCAGATTAACTGAAAATGATTTTGAGCAATTCCAGATTCTGATGTAAGTCCTGCTTGCTCTGTTGTCAAGATAATATTGAAAGCATTTCCAAATTCTGCTTCTTGAATTGGAAATACTATCCAAACTTTTAATTACCGTAGTAAGTATCCAAAGTTTTAATTCTGAGAAAGAATTCCTAGCCCACAACTATAACTTTTAAGTTGAGAAATTGCACAGTTTTTTAGCATTTGATTGGAAGAGGTTTGTTAGACCAGAGCTGAAACAAGGAGTTCAAAGGACCCAGAATCGATAGGGATTTTAGCAAATGTTTCAGAGAAATATTATGGTTCCATCTTTAATGAAGTTTGTGAAAGTAAGGCCCTAACTGAACCCAGGTAAGCCTCTTACCAGAATTGCCCAATTCTATCCTCAGAAATATCTAAGCTTATTTCACAGTTGCAATCAGAAAAAGACTTGATTTGCCTGGAACTGTTGCAATCTATCTAAGTAGTCACTAGAAGTATAAAACAACTTGATGGCAGGTAATCAATCAAGAATAGTTGAAGCCTGTACCTGCAGCTATTTGTACTCATGTAGTTCAACCTCTGGGGATATTGTCTCCTTGCTCCTATTTAATTTTTAGATAAATCTGTTGGCTGTATGAATTTCTCTAACCCAGAACATCTCCCTAAGTTGGCTGTGGATCTGTCTGCTAAAATGTATACTGACAATGATCATCATTAAATTAAATCATTATTGAATTTGGGAACACGAAGGGCAATTGGCTCATTGTTTAGGAGAACAGCTGACCTTAACATTTTTAAAAAGTCAAGGAAAATTTGGGAACAAAAACATTGATGGCCATTTGATGGGAATGTGCTAGCACAGGGGTAGGCAACCTTGGCTCTTTTATGACTCGTGGACTTCAACTCCCAGAATTCCCAGCATAGCTGGCTCAGGAAGTTTGGGAGTTGAAGTCCACAAGTCATAAAAGAGCCAAGGTTGCCTACCCTTGTGCTAGAACTTGGAAAATGATGTAAGTTCTGAGTCTTCCATTGTTCTGTTGCCATGTAAAGTATGCTGAAGAAGTAGCCCCAAAGAAAGTCAACAGTAGTCCTTAGAGATAGCTTTTGTGCTCCAGCAGCTTTACAGATATATGAAACATGAAATAGGCTTTGTCTTTCATCAGGGCATAAATATACATCTCTAAAGAAGCAGAAGCTCTGAAAGTATTTCAGTCTGAATGTTTATGCTTGTTATTGCAATGCCCAGGTCCACTCCAACAGATTTTAGCGTTTTAAGTCTGGTAGAAAATTGGCTTGAAAAGAATTCTAAATATAGGCTTAAATATTAAGATTTACCCCTGTATTCACATATTTGTTGGACTATAAGGATGAAAATAAATAAACAGTAAATTTGGGACATGGAGCTTCAACAAGATATAGGTTTCTAGATCGCCCTGTGCAGGGACCATGATAAATATTATATCAACATTTTATTATCATAGCAAATTTAAAGCTAATGAGCAGGCTTTCACAATTGGCAGTTCAATATGCTGCTTTTAATGTTCATATCAAATCCTCTACTTTCTATACCATTTTGCCTATAGTTCAAAATGAAGTTGAATTTATATGCCACATCCTTCTGCACTAACATTTTCATACAGATTCTTATACTTGACTAAGATTTATTTTAAAGGATCTTTCAGGCACCCTAACCCTAACCCTAACCCTAACCCTAGTCTTTGTTTCTACATTATGCCATCTGCTATTAGAGTTTAATTTTAAACTTCTTTGTTTTTTTCTTGCAAGTATAACTATTAGCTGCATGTTTGTCAATACATATATTGTTATGTGTCTGTTACTAATGATCACATGGACATAATACACTTATAATGAGTTCAGGATCTTTTATGCTTCTGGTTATTGAATTATTCCTGGAGAAAATCTATCTAGTTGCTAAGAGGTGACACTAACTTCATGGCACAGAATCAATCAATATTGAATTAAAGGTAAAATCTCCTTCAAGCTGAGCTCCACTCCTGGTGATATAATTAATAAGTCAATGTAGCTTTCCAGCAATGTGGAATTTGTTTCCCACTGCTTTTTTCTGCAATGTTCAGTTTCTTGTAGCCTACAACCTTGGGGTTTCCTGATTCAGCGCTGTTTAGGTTTTTATGAGCAACCAAAATTAATAACTGGCTGTGCAGTTAATGCATTGAACCCTAAGAGACTTTATTGTTCAACATATAACCCCCTCTCGTTTTCCTGAAAGCTTAGTGATCTCTCTGCAGCATTCATTAGGCTCCAGGCTCTTCTTTTCTGGAGTCCAAAAGGACCTCTGTAAAGCAGAGCAGCCTAGAAGAAGCCATTTCAGCTGAGCAGCCAGTAAAATAAGACCCCTTTTTCTGCATCATTTGTTTAAAGGGTCTTTTCTATAGTGCCTCAAGGATATTAAGTGCATTCACACGACACAAATGATCCAGCAATCACCTCCACTGCTCATTCATTCACTGCTGAATACCAGCAGTATACAACTTGGAACGAATGGGTTAGCATTTATTTATCAATTTATATGCCGCCTCAGTCACTACAATAACTCTACATTGCCTTTCATCTCTTCGGTCCTCCTGCATTTGTCTCCCTTCCCCTCTTTTCTTAATAACAATTAAAAACAATAACAGTAATAATATTCTTTTGCCAGAGTGGGAAAAATAATGTGTGTGGCTATCTATTTCATTTCGTTCTTTGCCTCAGTGCAACGATGGGCGCGTGAGAACCAGAACAGCCATAGAAACAGAATGTCTAGAGAGGCCCCATGTTGTAGGGATTTCAACAATTATTCAGGCAATACAGTACCTCCGACTAGAAAGAGTTACTTTAATGGCATTAAATCTCTACGATTAATTGGCAGAGTAAACTAAGCCATTTCTCCTACTCCTATAACCTGGTTAAGCATGTTATGTGAGGAGAGCTATGGCGTTCTTTTTTTTTTTTAATTCATGACTAGAGAATGGGGCTACAGTTCTTGACATTCTGTATATGCCAGTGGGGGAAGCTGAAGCAGTGGGAAGGGGGAAACTGGAGCAACTGTTTTAGGTGGGTCAGAGGTGGGTCATTCATTTTTAAAGGGGGGTCTCATCAATAGCTGTTTGTCATGTACACCCAATTACGTATACGTTTGGCTGTTTGGGGATGAAGCCAGTTGGCATATTTAGGTTATGCTTATACTCACGGACAAGCAAGGCTGCCTTCATTGAAAACAGGATTCAATTACTCTGGGAATTTGGTGCAGTGCCAAAAATTACACTAATTCCTGCCTCCAAAGAAAGGGGCAAGCTTTCTACCCTATTCTTTTTCTTCCTCGTTGCAAAACATGGTTTTGGTAAGGAGCCAGTCAAAGTTTGATGGGGTGGCTGAGCTGCCTAACTCATCAAATCAGGCCATGACAGAAGGCGGGGAAGAAACATTTGCAGGAATGGTTAAATGCTCTGGTATCGTGTTCCATGGAGGCACTGCATCCTGTTCTTGTTAATAATAATAATAATAATAATAATAATAATAATAATAATAGTAGTAGTAGTAGTAGTAGTAGTAGTAGTAGTAGTAGTAGTAGTAGTAAAGTTGGAAGGGACCTTGGAGGTCATCTAGTCCAACCCCCTGCTCAGGCAGGAAACCCTATACCATTTCGGACAAATGGCTGTCCAGTCTCTTCTTAAAAACCTCCAGTGTTGGAGCATTTAAATTTAAATAATAAATTCACCGCTTCTGGAGGCAGGTTGTTCCACTGGTTAATTGTTCTAACTGTCAGGAAGTTTCTCCTTAGTTCTAGGTTGCTTCTCTCCTTGCTTAAAAGGATGGTTAGATCAGTGTAGTCCAGGGGTATTCAACCTTGACTCTTTTATGACTCGTGGACTTCAACTCCCAGAATTCCTGAGCCAGCTTAGCTGGCTCAGGAATTCTGGGAGTTGAAGTCCACGAGTCATAAAAGAGCCAAGGTTGAAAACCCCTGGTGTAGTCCTAAGACCTTTGGAGCCACCTAGGCCCCTCTCAAAGGTCCATGAAATCAAAATTATTTGCCAGCCTATGTTGAAAATTAATTTAATATTAAAATCCCATCAAGCAATCATTAGTGATAGTGAATGCATCCATTTTAATTTTTAATATGGTAAATATCAATGAATGTAACCTGTACAAACAAAAACTCTTTTGTGGTCCTCCGTCATTTTTAAAAGTGGGAAGGGATCCTGAGAGAAGAAAGTTTAAGAAACACCGATCTAGATGCAACAGTTCTGAGCGCTGCCTCGAACGGAGCTTTCTATGAAATGGGAGGAGGGAGTTTCCTAGACCAAGGCAGAAAAAGATGAAACATGGCTGTTCTGTGAGAAGGAAGAATGGGCAGGAAGCTTTCCTATATGCATGATAATCAGTTCCTGAGGGAATAAACATTTAAGCATTTTTGTGCTAGTCCATGTCCGTGTCCTTCACAATTGATGCTCTGTACTGATCAGGTGAAATTTTAATTTTTTGTATTGATCGATTTTAAGGATTGGGATGTTATGATATCTACATTTATTTTGTTGCAAATTACTTCAGCTCCTCCAGGAGGAAGAATGCTAAAGAAATTAGTTAACTAACAAAATAATTGCTGCCTGAGGTGCTGATCAAGATGTGGAATTTGCTTCGATGCTTCCAATTGTTGGTGTCCAATTACACCATCCCATCCCTTAGAGCTGTCACAGCTATCCACGAGTTGCTCCATGTGGCCCAGTGATAGGAATGAAAGATTCCTGATTCTTAATCGGAGTTACTGGGATAATGGCAGTGAACCACAATCCTTCCTTGCTAGAAGGGGGCAGATTAAAGCCTCTCTCTCTAGTAATAACTGCAGGCAAAAAGAAAGGATGTACTGTATATGTAGGTGCAAAATGTTCCACAACCAACAATGTAACCTATTACTCCAAATATTTTCCTTAAGGTACCACAAGATTCTGCTCTGTTAAAAAAAAAGAGACAGCCACTGTCCAAGAGAAGTTAGGATACCATTGTGCCTGACAAAGTTTTTGCAATGTTTCCTGCTCTTGCTGCATCCATCTCTCAGCTATCAAGTCACAGTGCACAGAAGAGAACTCTGTGGATACTGTCTAGGAGGCCGTCTCCTTTTGGGGACTATCCTTGGCAAGCTTTGCTGAGTCTGTCACTGTGCAAAAATGAAGACTGCATCCTGGGCTAGGTCCAATGTTCTCTCACGGCTACATATCACAGAGTGAATTGGAGTCAGCCAACAAAATTTGGGCAAACTGTCAATCTATTTGAATAAGGAAATACTTTTCTTAGGATTCCATGGAATCTCAAGAGTAAGTTTAAATCAAATAGGCTTTGGAGTGTAAAAGCTTTTGTGAGGTGCTGCATTATACTTAGTTGGTTATTAGCTAGTTATGGCTATCCTTCTTGGATTCACCTTAGGCCAAAAACAGGTAAACTGACACCATCAAGATACTTTAGATTTCAACTCCCATCATGCCAGATTAGTGGCAAAAGGCTAGGAGTCCTAGTGGTGCAGTCGTTAGAATGCTTTGCCCACAGCCTGGAGTTTGATCCTGATTGGCTCAAGGTTGACTCAGCCTTCCATCCTTCCGAAGTCGGTAAAATGAGAACCCAGCTTGTTGGGGGCAATATGCCGACATTTGTAAACTTCTCAGAGAGTGCTGTAAAGCACTATGGAGTGTTATATAAGTCTAAGTGCTATTACTAATTGCTAATTCATTTTCTAATGTTCTTATTCTTGCCCGTAAATACCACAGTCACCATAATATTCTTCTAACGGATAACCAACGATACAGACAAGCTAGATTTTCCATTCCAAGTCAATTAAAAAGTTCTGAGAGATGAATCACTGAAATACAATCAAGCTGAGGTGCAGTGAATATTATATTACAGATCCAATTTCCCCATCCTGACAGGAACAGTCTTGTTAGTACATACAACCAGAAGTTCCCAAAGCCCCGGTGGTTTTGCCTCTGGCTTATGATTTCTTCTCACCAAGTTTGTTGATGCCAATCTCTTGCAAATCCTCCCAAGTCAGATCGGTCACAATGTTGATGGAGTCATAACCGTTGCTCACCAACTTTTTGTGGTACTGTGGTAGACCAATAGCACTCAACCATTCCATCAAGTCATCCTAGAAAATAGTGCAATCGCCCTGAGTTTCATTAGCAATATCTTGGTTTCTCTCCAAGTCTATGCAATTTGGGAGGGTTAGGAAACTGAATGGATCCTAGAAGATACATATGTCAGATCAGGTTTGGGGTTATACTGCCTGCATTCCATTGCCATTTTTTTATGTTCACTGGAAGGCACCATGAAGAGTATCTTCCATGACTAAGAACTAAGTAGGACAAGCCAAAAAAAAAAAAGCAGTCTTCAAAATGCCACCAACTTTATATATATATAGATCAAAACATTCACTCAAATCATCAATTTATCGGAGTGAGCAAATGATAGTCCTGGTAAAGTAGAGAGCAGCTTATTGGGTTTACATTTGCAAATACTCTATGATATCTCCACAAAAAGGATGCAGCACTTTGGGGAAAGGAGTGGGAATAGAAATAGATGCAACCTCATTTTATGGAGAAAGTGGTCAAACATATGGTGGCATTAAATAATTATTAGATTAAAATATGCCTCACAGACACTCTATAGCGTTTTTTGGGGGTCTGGGAGTGTATGCTTTCAGATAGGATACAGCTGATCAAAGGCTTCTTGTAGATCTCGGTAGTTGCCATACTCACAGGAATATAATTTGGGAGCCATTCAGAAATGCTGAGCTGTCCAATCTCTGTCGAAATTTTCTTCCTGTGGCCTGGTTTGGTTACCCCAATTGCTGTGAGATCCTAGAACAAAGAATACAGATACATTATCTACTACCAACGAAATGCATTTAATATTGTCTATAATGGGGGGCAAAACATCTATGCAATGTCTGTCCTGCAATGTCTCTTCAGGGAAAATGGACAAGTTCTTATACACCCCAAGTGATAATTTTGTGGAGAAACTCTAAGATACTTTCCCACCTTTGCCTGGTCCTCTAATTATTTTTATGATTTTGTTTACCTCTGGAGTCATGCGGCTGATTGTTGGCACATCATAACCTGCATTCAGAAAGTTGCCCGTATAACACTCCAGCTGGAATTCGCATAGCCAATTGTAAATGGCTGCAGCATCCTGCACAGAAAAAAAAAAGTACCCTTTGGAAAAGACCACTACATTCCTATTGTCCTTTGGTTATTTTACCAAAGTATTAATAGTGTGCTTGAGTATGTGTATTAAAACAAACAAGAACAACCAAGCAGCAGGGCATCAGGTCACCCATCTCTAATTTACCAAATGGGTAAGGATCATAGGAGTTTTAGTTGAAAACACAAGAGGACATTAGGTTACCTATTTTTGCTGTAATTTAAGCCCCACTTTTTCTGAGTGTTGGGCCACTCATTAAGCCCCGGGTAGGGGCGTCTATTTGAAAGTAGTAGATCAGTGGTGGCAAACCTATGGTACTAGTGCCAGAGGCGGCACTCGAAGCCCTCTCTGTGGGCACACATGCACGCTGTCGCCCCAGCCCCGCCTCCCCCATAGCCCCCTCCTCACCAGCAGCCCCCCCAAAGAGTCACCCCCGGGTGTGGCCCATGCGGAGCTGCACAGCCAAGCACATGGCAGCTGGGCAGCAGATGATGATGCGGGGTGCGGGTGGAGGGCGTGGCCACCATGGCACTGCAAGGCCGCCAGGGTGATCTGCGGTGTGCCGTGGATGGCCCTGAGGGTGGACGGGGTGAGGGTGGAGCAGGGCAGGAGTGGGCAGGCCGAGCGGGGTCGGGCTGGTTTTTGGGCACTCGGTCTCTAAAAGGTTCGCCATCATTGTAGTAGATTGTCAGCACTTTTGCCAGATTGGACTTAATATGGAGCTTTGCCATTCATCGGCATGCTTGGCGTACACTTATTTAATGGATGCAATAAAATTTCTCTTGATAAAGTGAAAAGATATGAACTCATTGTTATTCTTTGAAAAGTCCTCGTAAATGGCCTTCAAGTGCACTTTCCAAATCAAGACCGGAGTACAGAAAGTGCAATTTAATAGTTTCAAATTTACTGATTTATTTCCAGCTATTAATAATATGGTTCCTTGGAAAGATCTCAGGAAATCTAAGGAGTAATTTTATTATGTAATTCTTTTGTTTGCCGCTGCACTCAAAATAATTATTATTAGCAACATTTTCCTGGGAAGAGCGATCTCTGTCCTTGCACAACTCTTTATAGTAGCTGTAGAAACATCTGCTGTCTTTAGCATTCTACTCTCTCTATTCTGATAGCAATACCACAAAAAGAGACCTTGCCAGGAAAGGTTTCTCGATCAGCTAGACCAGGTGTAGGCAACCTTGGTTCTTTTATGACTCGTGGACTTCAACTCCCAGAATTCCTGAGCCAGCATGGCTCAGCTTGGAAAACCTCCCTTTCCCCTCAGCATGGCTGGCTCAGGAATTCTGTGAGTTGAAGTCCATGAGTCATAAAACAGCCAAGGTTGCCTACCCCTGAACTAGACCCACTAATACAGCATGCCTCTTTGCCAACACAACTCCAGAAAAGATGAAACTCACAGTAGTCTTAACATACATGCAGCCCCAGCATTGCATTTGTTATTCCTCTATTTTGCACTATTACTTCCCTACATCCTTTCAATTCTTCTGTCCATTTTCTAATTCCAGGCAAGAGGGGCACCAGGTGATTTTTAAGGAATCTCGAGGAACACCCGATATCAACATTTCTAAGGGTTATCTGTTCTTTGAACCATGGAATTACAATACCTTCCCTTCCAGGAGCTGCTCTGGGCGTAAATATTGGTGGGAGAAGATCCTGTCATTGGAGAAATTCTGATGCACTTGTGTCCCTGCAAAGAATCAAAGCAAAATCAGAGCAGACAACAGAGAATCAATGCAGGACATAGTCATGCAAAAAGGCCCGTTGCTACATAACATTTCTCCGTTTGAACAAGGCACGGAAGAGAATTAGAAATCTTTACATTGTCATGGTGGCACTTTCTGCATTTACACCCATGGAATTCACCAACAGGGAATGTACACTTTATTTACATTTCTGTCCTGTAAATTTTTTAATTTAAAAAATCCATCTTTTCTCAAAAGCTACCTGCAGCTTCTGGGAGGGAGGGGGGAGTACAATCAAACAGTATATTCAATTTCATTTTAAACAATGTATTGTTTTAAAGTCAATTCTCACGTGCTCTTGAATTTCAATTTTTCATTGCTCAAACCGAAGACATTCAGGCATAAATTTTCATGCACATTTGGAACAGCCTTCTGCACCATGCCTTTCAGAGATGTTGAGCTTCTCCTGTCTTAGTTTCCAGCCAACATGGCCACTGGAAAATCTGGGAGTTGTAATCCAACTCATTTAGAGGTTATCAAGAGCTGTGATGGTGCAGTGGTTAGAATGCAGTACTGCAGGCTAACTCACTGCTCACTTCAGGAGTTCGATTCTGACCAGGTCAAGGTTGACTCAGCCTTCCATCCTTCCGAGGTCGGTAAAATGAGGACCCAAATTGTTGGGGGCAACATGGTGACTCTGTAAACTGCTCATAGAGGGCTGTTAAGCACTGTGAAGCAGTATATAAGTCTAAGTGCTATATCGCTATCAGGCTGGGAAAAGCTGTTGTATAAAAGCAGCATTTGACACTGCAAGGCAGATAGCAAGAGCCCTGCTCCAAGTCTTAGACATGTTCTCCAAAGCACCTGCAGGCAGGACAAGAAGCAATGGCTGGAAACCAGTCAAGGAGAAAAGCAACCTAGAACTAAGGAGAAATTTCCTGACTGTTAGAACAATTAATCAGTGGAACAACTTGCCTCCAGAAGTTGTGGGTGCTCCAACACTGCAGGTTTTAAGAAGAGATTGGACAACTACTTGTCTGAGATGATATAGGGCAGGCATGTCAAACTCGCGACGTCACATGACGTCGCACAACGTATCGGGCCGGTTTTGCCATTGCCGGCAATGGGGTGGGCGTGGCTTCCACGTGACGGGTCCGGCCCGCGGGACGGCAGTTTGACACCCCTGATATAGGGTTTCCTGCCTGAGCAGGGGGATGGACTAGAAAACCTCCAATAACTCTGTTATTCTGGTTACAAATTAACAGCACAGTCTCCCTGCCATGCAAGCATGCCAACCCAGCTGAATGTTCACCTCGTGCAAAGCTTGTATTTGTTGCCATTAGGAAAGATGCTCTGTTTCCCCTTTCCACTTCTCTGACATCTACTCCTCGTGTCTCAAGATGACAACATCTCCACTTACCCAAGGAGCTGGTTTGGCCATTGTGAGAATTTGAACTCAGGACATGTTGCTGCAGATCCTCCCCACCAGGCAAAAGTGGCTGCAAATACAAGAGTGAAGAGAGCCCACAGTCATCAGTTTGCCAGACATAGGATTTTTTTTTTCTCATACTCAAAAAGATTTTGCATATATAGCATCAGCAAAAGCAACTGGGCAATTAATGCCGATCAACCCAAATGCCACACAATTGCCCGTTTGCTTAAAAATATTTAAGATCAGAAGGTCATTTCTAGCCCTTTGGGATTTTAGAGTTATCCAGCTGACCGTTCTTTTAATTTCTTCCCTGCAGATAAGCAACACTGATCTATGGAAGCTCTATATATCATTTTCAAAACCCAGGTGGGAAAAGAAAGGGAATGGGAATGCAAACCATCCCCAGTGCATCCCCAAAGTGGAAGACTACTGTCTCCTCATACCCCAGTTTATTACATCAGAACAAAACACAGCACTGCTTTATGTAAAAGGATCATAGGGTTATTCCTTGGGAATTCTATCGGATACAGTACCCCTGTCCTTTCAAACGACTGCCACAGAACATACAATTATGGCTCTAATTAATAAAGAACATCCTTCCCCAACCAGCTGGTTTATTCAGATTATAACTCTCAGACTTCCCAGGCAATTGCTATCTGAAGACGAGAACCAACATAATACTAAGTATTATTATATTTTCCATAGTGGGGAGTAATCTAGTTGGGGAGGAGCTGGAACCTGAATAGAAATATAGCCTCTAGGGAAAGAGTTATAATCAGCTCTGTCACTCAACAGTGCTTAAATCAAATTCAGAGCTCTTATGTCTGACCTAAAGAAAACTGCAGCTCAATTTTTTGTTAAATGAGAAAATATTCCCACATCTCATCTAGCTTGGCCATAAAAAGCAGATTATCTCTCACAGCTGATTTTTTTTTTAGTTTTTTGTCATAACCATCTTGCTAATTTACCCATTAGCAAATCATGAACTTGAGCATAAGCCCCAAGTGAGATATAAGCTCTTTAAAATGAGCATGGCTTAAAGGCAGTGTCACCTGAGTGGAAATATATCACGATATCATGGTCTGGTCCCCAGAGCCCTGCTAATATCAGGACCAAGACCAGGAGGAGGCATTCAAGAAGTGGATCCTGTGCTGCTGGGCCCCATCAATGAAACCAAGCCAGCAACCAGCCTAGACATTCCTGTCCTAGACCCAGGAACTCCTCCACACAGCCCTTAGGAATACAGCTAGTGTGTGAAAACACAAGGGTGCTTGGCTTTGTTAAGAGACAGGCAAACCAGGCAAAGCATGTCAGGAGTAATGGACTGAATGGTCTTGTCAGAGCCAGGGGTGCCCAAGTAAATTACGAGACTGCTGATATTTGGAGGGCAATTATGACAGGTTGCTGACCAAACTCAAAATGATCATTTGGATACATTATGCCAGTGGTGGTGAACCTATGGCACGGGTGTCAGAGGCGGCACTCAGAGCCCTCTCTGTGGGCAAGCACGCCGTCGCCCCAGTCCTAGGCCTTTGTACAAAAAAAAAAAAAAAGGTTCGATCAGTCAATTTCAACTTCTCGCGGGAAAAAAAAAAGATCTTGCAAAGTTGGAATTGATTGATTGAACTTTTTAGTCCCACCCAGTCTGCCCTTACCACCGCAGCCACGCCCACCCAATGGGCCACACCCACCCAGCACCTGACGATGCATAAGTGGGTTTTGGGTTACAGTTTGGGCACTCGGTCTCTAAAAGGTTCGCCATCACTGCCTTATGCAAAGATTTTCTTTTCTTAAGAAGTCTCACAGAAAGAGAAAATAAAAGGTGTTGAACAGCAAAGTGGATGGACTCAATTACAACAACACTGGGTGAATCATGGGAAGTTCTGAAAGGCCAGGTTGGGGACATATCATCTTGGAGAAGGCCTACGCATGGTGATTAATAATTAAGACCAACTTGAAGGCACACGTGTGTGTGTTTGCTTTCAAATCAACGTTGATTCCTCACAATTAGAAACAATTTGGTCTAGTGGCTAAAGCACCAGTTTTAATTCTGCCTTAAGTGTGAAAGCTAACTGAGTGACTTTGGGTCAATCGCTCTCTCTCAACCCAACCCACATTCCCTGTTCTAATCTCTAGCAATGTTCTTGGCAAGATTTTTTCAGATGTAATTGCCCTTTCCAACTTCCTAAGGCAGAGTGAGTCACTGGACCAAGGTCCCTCAGCTGGCTTTCTGCCTAAGGATTAGAATTCATGGCCTCCTGCTTTTTTAGCATGGCGCTTTAATCATTACCCCATACTGGCTCTCCTGATGGCATATAACCCTTCCAATAAAAGGCTGCTGGAACTATGGCAATCAGTGAAGATCACCATGAATTCCCTTCTTAAAATTGTCAAGGCCTTTCCTTGGGATTTGGCTTTACGTGTTTTTGAATTCTGTTATACTGCTGCCGTGTTGGATGTTTTCTGCTCTTCTGACGAATTTATCACTTTGAAATCAACTTCAGCCAGAAAAGCGAATTGGGCGAATAGGAGGTGAAGATCACAGAATAAAAGATTTTCACTCTTTTGCACAAAAAAAATACTATTTCCTTACCTTTACATTCTCAATAAGGAGTCCCACGAATTGTCCATTGGTACCCTCCGTACTTTGACCACTACCAGCGCTTCGGATACTGCCAATGCTGCCTTCGCTGCCCACACTGTTTCTATCACCTGCTGGACAGGAAGGGGGAAATTTCAAATGGCATTTTGTGGAGAGGAAGAGGGGAGAGATACTGTAAAGCTTTTCTTCCATCAGAAAGAAAATGTTAGGTGAAAGAAAGCAATTGGTAGCAGCAAGTTTCACAGCCCTGCAGGCTTTGTCACGGAGCACAACATTAAAGCCCCAGTTTCCAATTAGAATCAGAAACCCCAGTTTTCAGAAAGAGATTAGTCGGCAAGCAATGAAGGAATTTAGCTATGTGACCCTTTCCTTACATCAGCCTCCACTTCTTCTGATTCTGACTCTAAATCCACCATACCAGGTTATTTGAGGGAAGATGCAATAACTAACAAGCAGGCAAGCAGAGCAAACATGCTCGGGTCTGCTGATTTTGCAGGAACGCCTAGGAATGACAAAACTTGCACGTGCAGATGGAAGGAGAGAAAAAAGTGTGTCACTCCATTAGATGTGTGTGGTAGACGTGGGTGGCATAGCCATCGGAAGTCTGCCCTGATAGGTAAAACTGCTCTTAAAATAAAAGGAAGAAGAAGCAAATAAATGTACCTTTAGTGGGGTTACCAGGTAGGGTTGGAAGTGTCCACAGATGTCTACTACAAATGTAGCAGCACAGTGTAGTAGTGTAGTAGTGCAAGAATGGGCAACTGTTGATGAGCTGCAATTCTCAGCAACCCTTGCCATTGGCTAAGGAAGCATTCAGCAATATTTGGAGCACAGAGGCACACATTATCCATCTTTTGAACAAAGACAGAGGCAAGAATGAGGCCCCAACAGGGTTATGCATGCACACATACACCTGCACGTAAATCAATCAATAACAAGTGGGGTTTGCGTGAGTGAGGACATGTCACTAAATACTCCAGTGATAAATATGATGAAACAGACATCTCCCTTCTCCTTGCTGCTTTTCTCCCTAGCCTGTGCTCTCCTAGGCTGCAATCAGGCAGCCTGATTGGTAGGAAGGCTTGCCCAGCCCAGCCCAGCTGTACCCCTGACCTGGGCTCTCAGGTGCTGGAGCTGTCCTAGTCAGAGTGAGGTGGCCCCAACCTGCAGGGAGGCTGAGAGGTGCCTGTGGCGGAGAGGCGTCGGTATGTAGTTGTAGCCCACCAGGAGGGGTGGCTGTGGTGGTAACCTGCAGTCCCTTTGCATGGCTCTGGCACTGATGTGTGGACACCGTGCGGGAAAGAGTCAGGCCTGCATGTAGAGACAAAACATGCATGTCAGAACAGAGCGCATGTAAAGGTAAGGCAGTGGACTGGCTTCTGCATGGCCGATCTTTCCAGGTGGGACACACTATGCAGGACTACACCACATGGACAAAGAGGCTGTTTTAGAGGACAACTTTGGTACTCATGGAGTATGTATGTTCATCTAAAGGTTTAAAGTGGATTATTTATCCATTACCTAGATCAGGGGTGTCAAACTGCCGGCCCGCGGGCCGGACACATCATCGGGAAGCCACACCCACCCCATTGCCGGCAATAGCGAAAAAGTTCTGATACGTTGTGCGATGTCACGTGACGTCGCGAGTTTGACATGTCTGACCTAGATGCTTCCAGAATGCTTCTTTAACAAAGAGTTTCAGCAGCACATAATGGATATTAACAACACAAACAGAATCCCTGTACAGGTAGTCCTTGACCTATGGCCCTTTGTTCAGCGACCGCAAAATTACAATGGTGCTGAATGAATGGTGGTTATGACAGGCCCTCGGAATTCCAGCTATCTCAGCACTCCTGTGGTCATGTGATTGTGATCTGGGCACTGGGCAAATGGTTTGCACTTACGATCACAACCTGCGATCACATGGTTGCCATTTGCAATCTTCCCTTGCAATCAATGGGGAAGCCAGCAGGAAAGGTTGCATGTTGTTGAGGTAAGTCTCCCCCACTTGGGCATCCTCCTCAGTTCCTGTCCTTTGTGCTAGGCACTTATGCATTCTGTGCACCCTCCCTGACCTGTGCCATGCCCTCGCGCACCCTCCCCAACCCAAGTTGCACCCCACATACTTTTCCTCACCCAGCCACATCCCTGTGCACCCTTCTTGACCTGCACCAGGCCTCTTGTATACACTCCCTGATCCATAGGATCACATACCCTCCCTGACCCTGACTGCATCCTCCCACATACACCCCTGCATAACCTCCCCATCTTGTACAGTTCGTGGGCACCCTTCTTGATCTGTGCTGCACCCTTACATACAGTCTCTGACCTACACCCCCATGCACCCTTTCTGATGCACGCTGCCCCCCTACCCATCCTTAGCAGCCTGTAATCACACCCTTCCTGACCTGCGCTGTACCTCTTGCACACCCTTTTTGTACTCTCCCTGACCCATGCTGCACTTTTGTGCATCCTCCCCAATCCTCACCACCTCTCGCACACCGTCTCACACCCACTCCGACACTTGCCGTACCTCTCCTACAAACCTGTGCACCTCTCACAAAAATAAGACATTTTGCAAGGTGTTGCATTTAAAACCCCCAACATTTTTTTCTACTAGAAGCAATAATACAATAATAGAATTTATACCATTTATTTTTTTTTAATAAATGTCTCCAGACTTTAATTGCTTAAGAACATGAACAAGTTTAAAATATGAGTATTTTACTTTGCTAGGTATTCAAATACATTAAAACTGACATGGATAACATCCCTCTATAGACTGAAGATAATTAGATATTTGCAACCACCCTAGAACAACACGAGTGGATGAGCTGAATAGCTAAATTACCTATAAGGCTGTATTTGCATCTCTGCAAAGTTTCCCTTTGATAAATGATAGTTTGCATTTATCTCTGGATAATGCCATATTCTATTTTTGGGGGAGATGTTGATGAAGGGGAATGACTAACAATGTAAGCTTTATCTGTAAGGTCCCATGGAAATACATGGGACCTTAAACCGAAGTCTTAAATATCTGGAAGACATCGAGTTTTCTATCCTCTTATTTAGTATGTATGAAGTGACGCTGGGCAGCAAATAAATGGGCCTGAGCCTTTTCATGTTGAAAAGGTGGTACAGAGACGGGGGCAGGAAGGAAGGGAAGGAAGGTGAGTCTCATATAAAGCATATGCTGAACTTGTCCTCAATAACCATGGCTTCGAATTGGCAACTAATGACAGAGCAGGTATTGCCAGGAGTAACTATGATCGGAATAAGAGGCTACGAGATTTATTTTTATTTTTTTAAACAAAGGAGTTGATGAAGCCAGGAAAAACAGAGTAAAAGGGATGTCCTGGAACGTGGAATCACAACTGTCTCCAGCTTTTTCCACCCACCCACCAATCACATCATTGGACTCTCGTGAAACTTTCCCTTTATAACCCGGGGCCAACCTGTCCGCTTGCTGATTACTTCTACAATGGATGGAGGAAAATAGCCAACTCGGTCAGTGCCTTTCTGAGCATCGTGGATATGGCCCTTCCACCGTCCGTCTGCATGCTGCTCCAGGACCTGGCCAAAGAAAAGAAAAGAATTCCCATTAGCAGGTTGAAAAAGGCAAGAAGAGCCATTAAGTCTAATTTCCTGCTGCGGTAAGCAAGATTTTCTAAGACCTGGCAGGCTGCATAGTGATGGATATAAGCATGGGGAAAGCTCTGTTGTTCAAAACTAACCTTTGCTGCGAACTTGCTAGCCATTTCCCTATTTGTCTCCACTTACAAAATGGGAGTAGGTGCAGGTAGTCCTCTACTTACAACAGTTCATTTAGTGACCATTCGAAGTTACAACGGCACTGAAAAAAAGTGACTTATGACCATGTTTCAAACTTACGACCATTACAGCATTCCCATGGTTACATGATCAAAATTCGGACACTTGGCAACTGACTCATTTTTATGACCGTTGCAATGTCCCAGGGTTACCTGTATCCCATTCTGAGACCTTCTGACAAGCAATGTCAAAGGGGAAGCCAGATTCACTTAATAACCGTGTTGCTAATTTAACACTGCAATGATTCACTTAACAAGAAAGGTTAAGAAAAGTCGTAAAATGGGGCAAAACTCACTTAACAGCTGTCTTGTTTAGCAACAGAAATTTTGGGCTCAATTGTGGTTGTTAAGTCGAGGACTATCTGTACAGTGGTCTAGAACTATAGAACTGTTGTAAGGATTAAAAGGAAGTAATGTCTGTGTGTGTGTGTGTGTGTGTGTGTGTGAGATTCTTTTATTTTAGTTTTACATCGTTTATGCATTCTTAACACTTGAAAGAAGTAGTAAATAAAAATAGAATATAATGGAATTGAAAACTAAAGGAATGCTTCATTAGGATTAGACCAAACTTGTTTTGGTCTAAAGCAGGGGTGTCAAACTCAATTTCACTGACGGCCGCATCAGCATTGCAGTTGCCCTTCGGGGGGGGGCTGGGTGGATGTGGCCAGAGTGGGTGCAGCCTACTGGGTGGGCGTGGATGGAGTGGGTGTGGCCTACTGGGTGGGCGTGGCCAGTTCTACATCATTCGCATCAAGAGTGCCTATGGGAGCCTGGGCAGGAGTGGGACAGATCTGAGGGTCTCTGGCAGAAGGGGGTGGGACCGGGGCAAGTGCCAAGGCATGGTCCACTGGGACAAGTGCCAAGATGGCCACCACAAAATTGCACATTGGCTCCCGGCTGGCCTGGGCCAGGGCCAAGGCAGTGGGGGCCATTCCCTCACTGTTTCCAGGATGGCTTCGCGGGCCACATGAAACCACTTCGTGGGCCGGATCCGGCCCCCAGGCCTTGTGTTTGACATGTCTGGTCTAAAAGGCTAAACGTTTCCTTTAAAAAACTGAAAGCTAAGCTTGTTACCTGAATTTTATATCTGCACCTAAAACTGAGATTCGTCACTCGGTACCTCTGCAAAAGTTGTGCCACACACAAAATGCTATACTACAAAGTGTATTATTTAATGAATCTTTCTTTTTGTACATTCTTCTTAAAAGCCCTTGTTGGCATCCAGAATATATTGCCAACTGACATCCGATTATAATAATACTTTTCCCCATCTCCTATAGTAAGGATTTGTTGCTTCTTTTAAGACAAGTCAAAGTTGTATTTGTTCTTTTTCTCAGCATAATAATGAAGCCCTTCCATGACAAAAGAAGACGCATAACAAAGTGAGAGCCATGAGGGAACACTTTAGGGGAGAGAGATAGCCATGTAAGATCTTGCATGATTTCCATCAATTTCTCACCGTAATGACATCTCCAGCACGGATGTTGAGAGCTGTTGGATCGTGCAGATTCCAGAAATCCTTTAAAGCACGGACCTTCAAGATTCCTGATGCCTCTGATGACAAGTGATAAATAGGGAGAGAGAAAGAAGGAAACAGAGGAGTCAGAAATGGGCAAAAAAAATGTCAAGGAACCAGAAGATGATACTGTTACTTACAGAATAAATCATTTTTTTGTTTCTGTTTCCCACATCTTGCAAACTCTTCAAGCAACCGGTATATTATTTCCACCCTCAACTTTCTTGTAAGATTCAGAGTCAGCAGTGGGACTGAAAAACCTACATGTTGTTCATTACTCCCACTCTCACCAAGAGACTTCCAGCCAAAGTCCTTTCGTGTTCAGATTGCAGCAGATGATCTTCTAGCTTCAGGATCTATGGCAGTGGTTCTCAACCTTTTTAATGCCGCAACCCCCCAACCGGTCATAAGTCGAGGACTAAACCGGTCATACGTCGAGGACTACCCAACTGGTCGTAAGTCGAGGACTTTCCCTGCCCAGGAGCACCGCGCATGCGTGGTTCCGCTCCCTGTGCCGGCTGAGGCGTAGCTGGCAAGCGGCAGAGACGGAGCAGGCCGACCACCAGCTGGCCCAGCTCAAGGGAGGTAAGGCACCAGCCGGAAAAGGAGAAAAAAAATGGCGGACAGCCTTGCTTGGCGACCCCCGTGAAATGGTCGATCGACCTCAAATGGGGTCGCGACCCATAGGTTGAGAACCGCTGATCTATGGGGATTACTTTTTCAGCTTGCTCACCTCGTAAGAGCTGCTTGATGTCCTTGCTGGCATGTGAAGTGGTGAACTGGTTCACAATATCCAAGGCTGTCTGGTTGTAGGTGTTGCGAATGTTGACATCAATGCCCCCCTAGCAGAGAAAAGATGAAATGGAATGAGGAGAGAGATTTAACAAAAAAAAAAAAAAACTATGAAAAGAGGATATGCAAGACAGGGAAAAAACTTTCTTGAGGTAGAGAATTGTGGAGTCCTTGGTGCTCTTTGAGCTTGTTTGCTTGCAGACATTTCATTACCCAAGTAGCTAACATCATCAGTGCATGGTTGATGTTACCTAGCCAGGTAATAAGATGCTGGCAAGTAAACAACCAAGTTCATAGTACACTAAGGATTTCACAGTTCAACCCTGAGCCACAGATATTCTCTTCTACTGGTAGGGAACTGTATTCTGATCTGAGCCTCACAGTTTCATTACTGGCTTAATTAAAGCCAAGAGTAAGTATTGGTTGTTAAATAACCTGCATTAGACAATGTCCAGTGTTGCTTAGATGACATTGGTTAGACATTGATTCTGACACTTCAGGACTTTTAAAAAAGTTCCCCTATTATTGGCAATTATTTTTTTCTCTCAATGGCCCCAAATCCCGGAATATGTACATTCATACAGCAGCGATATGAAAGGGAGTTATATATGTAAGCTGGCATATGCACAAAGGATTTATCTGCATGAGGAAGAATCATTTTGGGGCTCTGCATACGATTGCCAAACACCGTGTTGGTTTACTCAGGAGAGTTTGTTATGCCTATCTGCTCACGGTCATGAAGATCACTAATCCAGCTTTATGATGTACTGTTGTGTGCAAACTGCTTCCTGATCTCACCTGCAGCAGGAGGCGCACCACTTCTGTCTTGCCATACAGGGCAGCTTCATGCAAGGCAGTGCCTGTTTTTGTCTGCCTGTTGATCTCAATTCCCGCTTTCAGGAGTTGTCTGTGTGGACAGCAAAATAAACAATGAGCACGAGCAGACCAAAAATAGTCAGCCTGATTTTAGGTCAATCTAGGAAGTGTAACAAAACCTTGCTGTTTACTCTAAACCAGCTGGGGGGCCTGGATGAAAATGGGGGATCACAGATGAATTCAAGAAATAAATTTGGAGGAATTTTTTTGTACTACAAGAAGAACGTACAATGGATGTGTATGCCCTATATAGTAATATGTTTTAATTTATGACATAATTAGGCTCAGACTTGAAAGATGGTAACTCAGCAGTTGCTACAACTGAAAAATCCAAAATACACTTAATTGCTGTTCCCTCTAAAATACATGACAGAGAGAACTGGCACAGTTCAAAACCAGCGCAGATTGAGGTTACTAGGAATACATTACAATTTGAAAAGGTAAGTGTAAACTGTAAGTACAAAATTATTTATAACTTTTATTGGCCAGAATGCAGAGCTACAAAAAGAAAAGCATTAGGATACGTTTTTAGGAATTGGAAACTCATTGATAGTCCTCCCAGCTCTTTAGCCTCTACAGTATTTTATTAGCCCTTTGGAACAATGCAACATCACAATACATCATTGTTATAAGGATACTGGAGAAAGGAATGCTGCCCTCTATTGGCAGATATATTTTGCTAAAAAATGATTTGCTACCACCTCCCTTCCCCTAAATCAGTGGTGGCGAACCTATGGCACGGGTGCCAGAGGCGGCATTCAGAGCCCTCTCTGTGGGCACGTGCGCTGTCACCCCAGTCCTAGGCCTTCAGCTGGGTTTTATAAAACCTTTTCGCTTTAGGCCTCCACCGCCGTGTGCAAAAAAAAAAAAGGTTCAATCAATCAGTCAATTTCAACTTCTCACGGGAAAAAAAAAGATCTTGCAAAGTTGGAATTGATTGATTGAACTTTTTAGTCCCACCCAGTCTGCCGTTACCACCGCAGCCACGCCCACCCAATGGGCCATGCCCACCCAATGGGCCACACCCAGCCAATGGGCCACACCCACCTGGCACCCGATGATGCATAACTGGGTTTTGGGTTGCACTTTGGGCACCTGGTCTCTAAAAGGTTCGCCATCACTGCCCTAAATAATGGCCAGCAGTAGACTGATCTATTAAGGCAATTGCCTTTACCCATCTTGGAAGTGCTTAAAAAATTACCTGATAATCTCCTTGTGCCCATTCTTGGCTGCCAGGTGTAGAGGTGTAGTGTAGTTGGGGTCACTTGTGTCTTTGAATTGTCCCTCAAGAAGAGCCACACACATATGGCTGTTTAGAAGCAACTGGGCTACCTAAAATGAACAGGGAATGATACAATGGATAAAATACAATAGGCAGCCTATCTGACCAATGATAATTCATTGACAGGCCATCTATTCAGCAATGTAGAACATCTAATCTAGAACATTCAGAGTCTCGTATCTCCCTGAAATATAGTTCCTTCGCAATTTTGAGATCTGGTTGGCTCTCCACTCTGATGGCTTTCCAGAGTCTCTTGCTGAATATTGGATGGGAGGATCCTTTCTGGGGATCTGCCAGTTTTCCTTCTTTTGTTCTTCTTGTATTGTTTCCATATTATATCATTCTTATGACACCGTTTGTATAATTTTGTTTTTATTATATTGGTTTCATTCTTTTTTAAAATTGATTTTTATTAAACATTTTTTTATCAAGTAAAACCAATATTTTTAAAAAAAAATGACGTAAAGAAAAAAGGAAAAATTAAAAATTAAAAAAGAAATGAAAGAAAAAAGGCAATAAAGAAAAAGAAAATAAGATATAACAATGTGGTTTCCCATTGTCTTTACAACAATTACAAATGTGTTTCTATTGTATCCTTTCTTTCCAAGATTACTCTTGCTCCCACTGTTTTGCCCCACTCGTGATCATCCTCTTTTTCTATTTAGATAAGGAAATACTTCTGAAATGATGAGCCAACACAGCATGGATCGTCTCAAGTCCTTTCTAATGGCTATTTTTAATGTGACCATAATTCAAAAAAAAAGAGATAGCTACTGTCCTTCTGACCTCCAAGGAAGGCAAATGCTTAGGAGCAGCCATTCCTCCCATTCCTACAGCCCTGAGAAAGAAAGAGTTGTACATCTGCTTTGCTTCCAAGTCCTTAAAGAGGCCAAATTCTTCAGCCTTTTAGGAACTGGGTCATCCAACTCTGTTATTATCAGCCACTCAGTTCTCTTTTTCTAGACTCCACCTGCCAATTTCCTTCAGCCTCTCCATCTTCAGCCCTTCAACCACAGGTCCTGTAATCCTTATAGAAGATGCTCCTACCCAAAAATTGCTTCCACAAGGATGCAATTTTCATGTAAAGTGTATTAGTTTTAGCACTGGTTAGAGTTTGATTTATGTCTCAGTGTGTTGAGGAGCCCAGTGTATTTATAGTTCAACATGTTCTACAAATCCAGAAAACTGGGTTAATTAGCAAATCTGGGCTACCCATGGGCAGTGTATCATGAAAACACAGCCAGGCTAAAGGTTATGCTTAGAGCAGTTTACTAAATGATAAATAATTTCAACTTCAAGTTTGGTTTTGACCTGTCTTTGGCTATAAGTAATCCCTACACCATCACAAATTGTAGTTCATGTGCAGAGATCTTGAGCATGTTATTTTATGTCAGATTCATCATGCTATTTATGGTGTATTTATGCTACTAAAGCTGATGCTCAAAACACTTCCTGATTAATCATGCAAATAATGTGCCACTCCCTCAGTTTCTTTGGTGCAATCCCTAAGATTAATGTTCCCACCCCAACTTAGGGTTTATTTATATTTCCTGTTCTTTTCTTTAGCTTGGAGGAAGCTTCCCATCCCCAGGAATTCCAAAAGGCTTCTGCACCTGTCCTAAATAACAGAGCCAGGAATCTACAGCCAGCTCCCAGTTGGGTCAGGATGGAATGCTTGGCCTTCTATTCCAGCTGGCCTTGCTTCTGACTTCATAGCCTGAAAGGATTATTAGGCTCCAGGCATTGTTTTGTGTGGGAACTGTAAAGAGAAAACTCTGATTGCTTTGGAACTGTAATGGAAAAAGATATCCAGGGGAAGGATGCTGTATTATGTCCCAGAGTTATAGCAAGGCCTGACCCAAACTGCTGTCTGCCCAGAGTTTTTCAACCTCAGCAACTTTTAAGATACGCTGACACAGCCAGCAGAATTCTGGGAAGTCCATATATCTTAAAGTTGCCAAAGTGAATAATAATAATAATAAAGTTGGAAGGGACCTTGGAGGTCATCGAGTCCAACCCCCTGCTCAGGCAGAACACCATTTCAGACAAATGGCTGTCCAGTCTCTTCTTAAAAACTTCCAGTGTTGGAGCATTCACCGCTTCTGGAGGCAGGTTGTTCCACTGGTTAATTGTTCTAACTGTCAGGAAGTTTCTCCTTAGTTCTAGGTTGCTTCTCTCCTTGATCAGTTTCCACCCGTTGCTTCTCGTCCTGCCTTCAGGCGCCTTGGAGAANTATCCCTCTGTTAATGCAGCCCAGCACTGTGTTGAGAAACTCTGCTTTAGTCTATTGACATACACTTGGTTACCACAAAAAACTATAGGGCAAGGGTTGAAACTCAATGCGATGAGGAAAACAGAATGTATGATAGTTGATTTAAGGCTAGCTTAAGAAGCTTCATGGGACAGGACAAGACAGAACAGGATGGAATTATATGGCATGCTTGACTGCTTTTCGTGCACCAGAATGCTTTTCAAAAGACAGTGGATATGAACTAGACAGACGGGGTTATCTTTTCTCTGACTTGTTTGTTTTGTAATACAAGGTGCTATGGGTGATTCTGCTTACCTTCAGCCTCCCAAACTCACAAGCCAAGTCCAAGGGGGTTTTCTTAGCCTTATTTATAAGACACGGGTTGGATTGGTGCTGAAGCAACATCTCTGACTGCAGGCAAACATGTAAGAACATGAAAGGAAGTCAGTGAATCTGGAGAAAGTGGCAGCACATTCCCGGTGATACAAAACTCATTTCTCTGTGACGCATACTCAAAGCCTTTATACAGGAAAAGCCTTATTTGGAACTGACAATAAAACACAGCTATATATGGATCATAATGGGCCTGTAATTTGCTTCTCCAGCTCCTCCTAGTTAAATCTCAGACCAAGAAACTCAGAAAGTTCTCCAGTCTTTTCTAGCCATTTTAAAGTTCTTCTCTAAATCAATCTGATGGAAAGTAAACATCCTCTTGGGGGCTTTTATTTGCATTCTCACCCTCTCAACACATTTGAAGCTGAGTTTGATTCAGACAGTGAAAATTACTGGAAAGTTTTCCCACTGGATCGGGAGAAACGATGGGTTTTCTAAATCCATCAGCTCAGAAGAGTTCTAACTATAATGCTTGGTATGCAAATAATCTCAGATTCTATCTTTTAAAAATTGTAAATAAAATGCTTGTCCTCATTTGTGTGCAATGCAAGACCTGATGAGAGCTTGAAAACGAAGAAAAATATGACAGAACTTTGGAGCTATTCCTAGAAAAGCTTTCATGTTATAAATAACCAACATTGGGGATTTTTTTGGATGATAGTGATGGCATGTATAACATTTTTTCACCAGAGCAAAATATATACAACTCCGCTGAGTTTATTTCTAGAATGCATTGCCCTGCAAACTATGCTGCCTATGAGACCAAATATTTTTGTCATCTTTCTTCCTTTTTGTTTCCTGACAAAATCTGTATAAATGCTATCTTGGCACTGATTGCAGCTTACTTTAATTCTACTAGGCACGCCACCCGTGCTTATAGCAAAGCCCTATAATAGTTTTGCTGTGCAATTTTCACTTGAGGGGTGGGGTTCATATGAACATATAAGAAATATGAGGTTAAGAGGACAGGACCTTAGGGATTTTTTTGAAAAGACAAACTTAACATTTCTTCATCAGTGAGGTTTGAACATATACAGTACTACAAGATGAAGTGTGTATGTACGTGTGTGTGTGTATAAATATATGTATACATACACACATACACATACACACACACACACACACACAAGAATATATTCTTCATCTGTAGTATATGTTTTAGGGCAGTGATGGCGAAACTTTTAGAGACCGAGTGCCCAAACTGCAACCCAAAACCCACTTATTTATCGCTGGATGCCAGGTGGGTGTGGCAAACTGGGTGGGTGTGGCCAAGGTGGGCGTGATCATCTCGATGTTGCTCGTGGGGAGGGACGCCTGTGGGGGATGGGCAGGGTTGGGTGAGATCCGGGGGGGGCTCTGGCAGGTGGGGCGGTGGGCAGGAGGCTTGTCCTGCGGGGTGAGGTGAGACAAGGTGAGGTAGGGCAGGGCAAGGAGAGGACAAGGAGAGGCAGGGGCCGAGGCAGCTGCTGCCAGACACCATCGGCCCCCACACACAGAGGCCAGCGAGTGCATGGGGGCCGACAGTGTCCGTCAGCAGCCACAGCCTGCCGACCCCTCAACCAGCGGACTGGGGCTCCGCAGCCCATCACCAGCAGTTCAGAGAAGCCTCCTCTGAGCTGGATGGATAGCCGACAGCTGAGCAGGCGATGCAGTGGGTCGTGCCCAGGAAAAGGAGAGCATGCAAAGGGAGGAGGGATGGGACGGAGGGGAGAGAAACCAGCCATGCTGGGATGCATCCAGCCACGTGGGACCTCGGCGAGTTAGTGGACAGCTGGTTGAAGAGGGATGGTTGCCATCTCCAGGGCATGGCTCGCTTGCCCACAGAAAGGGCTCTGAGTGCCGCCTCTGGCACGCGTGCCATAGGTTCGCCACCACTGTTTTAGGGGAAATGGAGTGATTGAATTGTATTCTAGTTTTCATTTACTCAGGGAACCAGTTGATTATACACAATTAACATTTTATTTCAGTATACTATTGTACAAGATGCCTAAGAAATGATGTGTTGTTTGTCTTTACAGAAGTACATTAGCAAATTTGCTTCTCCATACATAACTTTAGAATGAAGGCTTGACTTATCACACAGAGTTACGAGAACCTCTTTTTTTATCTCTTGTATCTTCCATCATAACTCCCCACTTACCACTTCATAGTGGCCATACTGGGCAGACAGGTGCAGTGGGACCTGTCCATCCAATGATGCCATATTGACTGAGGCAGACGCCCGTAGCAGGAGGCGCACGGGCTCCACTTTCCCTTGCCAGGCAGCATAGTGTAAAGGGCGCATTCCTGTACAAAGACAAATATCAGAAAGGAAAAGACAGAGATAAGCCACCCAATGTGGAGATTGTAGAGGCCCACCTGGGGAATGTAGATATAAAGAAATTAAACAGTTTTCTTAAAAAAGAAAAGAAAAGAAAACCCCATACAGGTAATCTTTGACTTACAAGCATAATTGGAACGAGAATTTCTGTTGCTAAGCAAGGCAGTTAAGTGAGTTGTGCCCAATTTTATGACTGTTTTTGCCACAGATGTTAAGCAAATCACTGTAGCTGTTAAGTGAATCACACAGTTGTTAATCGAATCCAACTCTCCCCACTGACTTGCTTGTTGGAAACCAGCTTGGAAGGTTGCAAATGGTGATCATGTGACCCTGGGACACTGCCACTATTGTAAATACAGTTGCCAAGCATGCAAATTTTGACCACGTGACTGTGGGATGCTGCAACAGTCATAAGTGTGAGAACGGGTCCCTTTTTTTTAACACTGTTATACCTTTGAATGGTTGCTAAATGAATGGTTGTTAAGTCATGGACTGCCTGTGCTAAATTTTTGGATCTGAACCATGGATTAGGGCTGGTTCAGCAAGCAGGCAATCTCTACTGGGGCAAAATATGGGAGTATGGCAGCCCTCTGTTCTCGTTCCAAAATATTACTCAAAATATTACATCCCTAGAAGCAATGTTGTCTATCACATTCTTCGCAAACGACAATTTTAATTAGTGAGACAAGTGCAATTCCCCACATCAGTGGCAGTTGCTACAGAGAACATCTGAGAAGATCTTTCTCCTTCTTGATCACACATGGGGAGAAGCCAGAATAGGCAAATGTCTTACCGTTTGTGTCCTTAATATCCACAACGGCCTGTGCCTCCAGCAACAGGGAGATAAGTTCCAGGCTTCCAACCAAGGCTGCATGGTGCAAAGCTGAAAACCTGAAACCAAGTAAAGAAAAAAAGAAAAGGATCCTTGATGGGGCAAGCCTCGGTCTTTCCTGAACATATAACGTGAACTGGCCTGGCTCAGACATGCTCCCTGTTAGGAGATATGTTGAGAACTTAAGGCTACTAAGACTGATACCACAAAAATTTAACTCCCTTTAGGCACACGATCCACCCTGGCATGATTCATCTCTGCACATTCTGTTAGTGGTGATACTGTGCTTTAATGGTGACTCTAGTCATCCATATAGATAGGGAAGCAATATAGAAGGTTTGAAAGTCAGAACTGGACAGTACAGTATAAAAACTGGACAAGAACCAAGTTCAAACTCTTATTCAGCTTTGAAGCTATCTAGCTACCCTTAGGCTGGCCACTATTTTTTAGATTAATCTATTTTACAGAATTGTTATGAGAAACAGGGGGCTTTATGGGACCACTATTAATTTTTGAGGAGAAAAGGAAGCATTTTCCCAATATGATGTATTCCAGATGTGGTTGACCATAACTTTCAACAAATGTAGTTGCTATGATGGCTGGAAAATGGTATTTCATAGTATACTTCAGTATTTCTGGAACGTACTAATTTGGGAAAGGTTGAAATATTGGCATTACAGTGTCCTGGCAAATAGATTCTAAAATCACAGACAGTAAGAGACTCTGGTAAGCTCCTTTCTTTGTGGAGGTGTTGCCATTTACGCCTTTTCAGCATTGACCAAACAAGCCCAGAATGCTTAATGACACATTTCTTTTTCTGGCATTGTCCTGTTAATGTTCCACAAACTTTTTCATTTTCCTTTGAAGACCTTGTTATATATACACTCTTGCACATGGGAAAGTCTGCTGCCATGGTTCTGCAGGATACAAACAATCCCCTCTTGGCTCTAATAAATAGAGGACTTTGAGCAAGCTGCTATGTTGTGACTTGGTGTCTGCATGTTGGTACACTGCTTGCCTTAGGAAGAGATGGAAGGACATAACATAGCACCAACTGGCTAAAATAAAAGCTATAATCTGAGCCGTATATAGTCTTAGAAGTGGACTCTTCAAAAGGTTTAAGTGGAAGAGGAGGAGAAATGTTAAATAAATGGGGAGTAACCATTTCATCGGATCTAATTCCTTCCGTGTAATTTTCATTCATTCTGAATCCAGTTATATTGATGTCATCCACCTGTTTGCCCTGGCCCCAACTAGTTTTAAACTGTGGTACCCAGCATGCTTATAGCCCTCTTCCCCCAAGTCATATATTCTGATTTAGGGTGCTTTTAAGATTCAGTAACTAGCATGCAAGAGGATGTTCAGCAAGTGTTATATTTTTAACCATTGTCCCATCTGAAAAGGACCTAAGATGCCTGCCTCAAGTGAGCCTTGCAGCTCATAAAGACACAAGGGATCTTTTGCTCATCAAAATATGGGGGGTGGGAGTGGATTTTTTTTTTTCATTTCTCTAGTTAAAAAAAAAGTGTACAAGCAGACTTGTAGGAAGATTAAGCCGTCTAATGAGTTACTTCTTATACTGGTGTGTGTGTGTGTGTGTGTGCGTGTGTGTGTGTTCAGAATAGCACCCAAAAGGTCAGACAGAAAAAGCTAATGTTGGCCTTGGGACAAGTGACCAGCTGTGTCTCAGTAGGGGGAGCATCACCCCTCCCTCCCCTTACCTCCCTGGATTTGTCCTGCTTATGGCCGTCTCTTTCCCAGCACCATTTTCCTATTGCCAGAGTGTGTGAGGCCACTGAGGATGAATAGTTCTTGTGTTTGGGGTTTGTGAAAGAGGCTTGTTTATCCAGACCCCTCCTCCCCCGCTGGCTCCCGCCTTCCCATTGCTTAATGCCGATTTCATTCATTGGAAAGGATGGAGGGTTGCTCGGGACCCACGGGAACCCAACCGCTGCAGCAATGCGGCCCCGGATCGCAGCACTGTTATCCCCAGCAGGAGTGAAAAGTGTGGAGGGCAACTTCAGTGGCAGCCTGGCTCAGCCCTCTGACACTGTTCAATACTGATGGGCATCCGTCGCAGATTGGAAGCAGTTGTGTCTTTCGGGTTTCCTGTCTGAGAGAATTTAATAGCAGCCATTTACACAAGGAATACCAACACCACCAGTCCCCCTGTGCACAATGATACTCTCCATCAGGGAGGTCCTTTCTTAGCTAGAGGCAGCCAGCAAGCAGTCAGCTCCTGCTGGGCTTCTGCTGCAGGCCTGGAGGCTCCAATTATCCCCACGGTAACCTCTCAATGGGAAGGAGAGCTCTCACGGCCAGGAAGAGTGGCCAGAGCATCTGAAAGAGCCCTTTGCCCATTCCAAGGGGCAGGCCCAAGGAGTTAGGAAGAATAGCCACCTAGAGCTGTATTGGCATTGCCTAGCAGGAGTTGGTAACCTGTGAGTCCCAGGGAGGTTACTGGCAGCCTGCCACTCCTGCTGAAATTCTCAGTGTTACTGAAACAACCAATAAAAGGTTTCACTTTCTGGCCCCTCAATCTGAAACTAAGCTTTCCTACAGCCCATCAAGCAACTCTGAAATATTCATTCTGCCCTAAATCGAGACACAATTGAGACTGGAGATTCACCTCACAACACTGATATTATTTGACAAACGGAGCAGTGATAGCACGAATGCAGAGATGCCCATCTCATCACTGCTAGATCCCATGATGTATCTTGGAGAAGAGCTGTGGGACAATGCTGAGAAAATTGCCTGAACCATGAACAATGACCCACTAGAATCTTTAACGTTATCCAGGCTTGCTTGTGTCCAGATCTTTCCCCATATTAGAATTGGCATCAGTGAACCTGAAGCAAGTGATTTGGCTAAGTCCACCTAATGAGAAACTGACAAAGTGAGATATAATCAACAACCTCTTGACATGTAGCTATCTATATCTCTTAACCACTAAAACCATACATCATGGTAATAGCTGGAACACATGGCTTTAACTCTCACAGCTTTTAATTTATTTGTTTTCAATTCTTGGAATGCAATATAATACAACATTTAGTCTACAGAAAGCAAGGAAACACTAGAGAACAGCTGCTGTTGATAAGGGAATGGGTGTAATCAATGGTGTAAGATACAACAGATCAACAAGGAATTCATTTTTAGAATGATTAAAAAAATACTAGCTATTAAGATTTTGTTAAATAGTTAGATTAAACTCTGCACTAATAAATACATTAAATACATTATAAATTGATACAAATGTAAACTTTACCAAACACAGAAGCATTATGAGTTTTAAAATTCATAAGTTTCAAAATGTGTGAATTTCTAGAAGGTTTCTTTCATCTTATAAAAGTGAAGTCCTGGCAAATTCCTAGTGGTAAAGTAATTTATAAAAGTTACATAAAAATTTTATTTCCAAACATAAATTTATTATGTATTTATGTATATTTGATATGGGTGTGTATGAATGATTCTTCTCATGTGAACTGCAACATTACCATTTCCATCACTCTGTACGTTTGTGTTTGGCATACAAAGAATAAAAGTATCAAGAAGTAATAATACCCTTGTTGATAGTTTAAGTTCTTTGCCCAGAACTAAAATTTCTCCCCCCTCCCAGGGGTATCTACAGATCCCTTTTTTCTGAAAAAAATGTTGGAAGAGATGCACCCATGAACCGACTTTCAACTCATCATGTTTGTGAACAACTGACCAAAAAGCATGTCGAAAGAAATTATTCTGAATTGCTCCTGGGCTCTATAAGATCTCTTGCTTTGCCCCATAGGCTCTAGGATCCTTTATTTAAACTTAAAATTTAAGCCAGCTTTAGTGAATTCAAACTTTGGGGGGTAATCTGCAGAACTGTCTGGTATTTTTATAGTTAAACCAGGCAACAGGGAAAAAGGGAGGAGAATAAGGATAGCCCGGGAAAAAGAAACCGGAAGTAAATCACATCTTCCAAGTTGATTGGAAGATGTGAACCATGACCCCAAAATAAGGGGGGGGGAAATGCTTAGAATGTATATGCGTAACGGAAGAGAAGCCAGACCTAAGCATGATGTCATGTGTCTGATTAACGAAACACTTAAAAGGACTTTCAGGCATATTTTTTCCTAAAAGCATTTATTAAGGTTACAGAGACGTCAGAACAGCATGGTGGAAATGCTTAGGTCTGGCTTCTCTTCCGTTAGGCATATACATTCTAAGCATTCCCCCCCCCCCCTTATTTTGGGGTCATGGTTCACATCTTCCAATCAACTTGGAAGATGTGATTTACTTCCGGTTTCTTTTTCCCGGGCTATCCTTATTCTCCTCCCTTTTTCCCTGTTGCCTGGTTTAACTATAAAAATACCAGACAGTTCTGCACATTGTCAAAGCAAGAATATACAGTATTTGCAGCGTTGACAGGATTGTTGAGATATATTGATTGCTTGATGCCATATTTTATTACTTTGTAAGGCAAGATGCTTATGAAAAAGACCGCTATCACTACTACTATTAATCTTTAGTGGATAAGATTGCAACACTAGTACATTCCAATTTAAATATCTCCTACAGTCCAGTCTGGGACATTTTATGACTGTTCCTCAGAATTGTTCGCCTCGTCTCTTTGTCAGCATTCGATCTCTAGCAAGCCCATCTCAAGACATTTTTCTGCCTAAGACAGGGGTTCTCAACCTTGGCAACTTTAAGACTTGTGGACTTCAACTCCTAGAATTCCTCAGCCAGCAAAGCTGGCTGAGGAATTCTGGGAGTTGAAGTCCACAAGTCTGAAAGTTGCCAAGGTTGAGAACCCCTGGAGGAAGCAGCAAACTCTTCCAATCAACATGTAGAGTAAACAAAGTCAAGTTATTTTGGCAAATGAGGCAAAAATAGCTCAAGCACATCGCTCTATTCCTGGCAACATACCCAACAACAAAACAGAAGTCTAAGTTTTTTGCCTTTGCTTGCTGCCTCACATAGCTTCCTCCTTTTACCTAGTAGCAGGCCTGGACCTGATTTCTAGGTTGATCATCTATCTAGTTTATTTGTTCTGTATTTTATTTGTCCCAAGTCCCCACAATTCATTGAGGAAGTGAATATCTGAAAAATTTCCATCCCATTTCTTCATACAGACATTTATCTTAGACTGCATCTAGCTCAGAATCTGAGGTATTCCTTCTAACTAGAATGCCAAAAGACTGTCACAAAGCCATATTTGCCTCATTCATTTGAAAATTGTGGGAGTTAGATGCAATCTTCCTATTAGAACAATTGGTTTGCAAAAATAAAAGGAGGTGGTAAGACAACTACAAAAGGGTTCTGCTCCACTTAAAATCAGGACTGAGAAATAATATTGTATTGGTGCTATATAAATAGATAATGATTGAGGATCATTAGCTACATGTTCATGCATTTAAACAGCTATGGTGTTAACCCATTGAATTATGTATGTATGATATGATCTCAGCCTTTAATCCCATTGTACTGTAGCCTTCTCTGAGATTTGATCTGGATTTTTTTTTCCGGGAAACACAGTGATATTTCTTCAAAGGGTCTGTGGCTGCAGATCCCAAATCTCTCTTAATGCAAACTCAAATTTGGTTTTCTCTCATTTGCTCTCCATGAATTTCCAGCCATTTGGGAGCTACAAACTATATCCATTTGTAGGACACAAGGATGTTTTGCTACTAATAATTTGAATGAAGTATCTGCCTGCAGTATTTTAAGAACAGATTTCTATTTCAGATTTGTGTTTTGCATTCATAATGTGAAGTGATGGACACAAGGTCATACAGGGAGTCAACGGCAAGGCCAGAGACAAAACATATACAGTAGTATCCTTCAGTTTGTAATCAGAGTAGAACTCATGGAGAAAGAAATAACTACAAATTCTTCATATGTTCATAATGAAGAACTGAGTTATTTGCAGGACTGACTCTTCCCTATAATATTTGCTCATCCCACATGCTCCAATTGGTGGGCACATTTTGTGTCCCCTCCCTGAATCAATGCCATTTGGTGGGACCCAGGAAGCATGGCTTTTCCATTGTGGCAACTGCACTCTGGAGTAATCCCCCGACATACCTTTGGACCTTATTTTGTTGTCTTTAGAAAAGCATTAAAAACCTGGGTTATTTTCAAACTTTGGGGATGGGATGATGGGAATTTCCCAGGTTGAGAGGTACATGAATGGGATTTCTCGGGTGCCTATTATAATCAAATTTTTATATTTTAATTGAAGTAACTCATTTTGCCTTTTTTTAATTTATGGTCTAATCTTCAAATTAGGCAGCCATATAATTTTTTTAAAAAAAAAACCACACCAAATAATAAAATTCCATTTAAATCATAAACACTTTTGTCTTTGTTTAATTACATACCCATCCACATCCTGGTAGTTCACATTCAGCCGTTTAGTTGATCCCAAGAGTTCTAGAAAAAGAGAAGGGGAAAATGTGTCAATTTAGTATATTGAGAAATTATGGAATCTGTATGTTTGAATGCAAATTTAGAGAAACATTTAACAATGTTTTTCACGGGAATCTGCAACTCTGTGAAAACTTTATAAGGAAGCATCTTGGTCACAGATATTGTGCTCAGCTCCAAGTCAGAATATTACCAGAAAATTAATTTAGTGGCAAACTCCTTTATGTTGTCTCTAACCATAGTTTAGAATGAATGCATTAATGTTTCTTTGAAAGGAACAGACAGATAATTAAATAATCTGTTACTAGATAAAGAAGTATACTCAATGCACACTTTCCCTTCTGCTTCTCTGGTGGCATATATTTAGATATTTCCTTGCTTTCTCAGGAACAGTTCTGTGGTCATTCTGAAATTATAGTGGCCATCCCAATAGTTAGAAGAACTAATGGTAATGACAACAGCAAACCTGGTGATCCAATGGATAAGGGCATGGCTTTCTGGCTTTTATCTGTAATTGGCCCTTCTCCCAAGCCTGCCAGACTCACCTTGCTGTGCACAGAACAGCACCTGACCCATCCCTTCAGTCTCTTCGTTCTTTCCAGTTTCTTTTGCTTTGCCTCCTATACTGTGTTCTTTGTGAGTACCAGCTTGGGACTAGCCCCATTCTTCACTTCAGTTTTCCTCAAAACAGTGGCTGCAAATATTCCCCTCTCCAACTGATCACTTCCACAAAACCAGCAGACAAAATCCCCCTTTCCCATCAGCGTTGGGCACTGGTTCTGTATCCTTGCTTTCCTTCCACCAGAGATGCCTCCATTTATAAAGTGGCATTCCCAGAAAATGAAAAAAAAAACTGACATTTATTTTGTTCCCACCTCCCTTCGCTTTCCTGCTGCCAGCGAAAAGCCCCCACACATCAGATGGCTGGCATTTTTCCTCCAGAGGCAGAGGTGGTAGATCCAGAGTTTTTAAATAAAGGCATTGTGTTTGCCTGACATTCTATTCACCTTGCTTACTCCCCAAGTACCCCACTTTTTCATGGCCTACTTTGTGGAAAACTCCACAACGGAGAGGGCCCTTCCAGTTTCTAAATGAAGTATGCAACTGAACCAATTATGATGCCCTCTCTCCCATACACAGCAGCCAATGCATTTCTTTTCTTTCACATGATAATGGAGCCATTCAGGAATCTGAATGTAAAACAACTGGGCATCAACAAAAGGAACTGACATTTATGGGTAGGAAATATAAGCAAGGATCATTTTTATCTGTTAGATCGCTATATATAATTTATTCTCCTACTGGTTTGCAAATACTTCATCCTGCAATTTTTCTATAGTACCAGCTCTACAAGATGGATTGGTTTGAGGGAAAGTGACCTATCTAAAGTAATCCATTGCGTTTCTATGTCTGAAGATGGTCTTGAACTTGACTCTCTAAAACTAATTCAGTCCTATCCACTACACCATTTTAAATACTCTCTGAAAACTAATTCAAAGATTTAGCATGTTTTACCGAATATGCTGGATTTTTGTGAACAGCTTTTGAAAAATGTAAATTGGTCAGCTATTTAGCATGCCTGAAGAAATCTTACAAAGAATACAATGAACTTGCTGTGAGCAATTTTCAGCATTCCTTGCAGGAAGGATTGATTGGATTTGGCCCAATTTGGATACCAATATGAGGGAAGATCACAAGAAAGTAACCACACATCCTATTCATGTGGCATCTTTTCAGATACTTTAGTTCAAGATCCGGATAGGATTTGTGGAGATGTGAGGGCCACTTCTCCCCTTTTGGCTGATTAAATCAGCCAAATTGCAACTGGTCCCATGGGTTATGAAAAGTGATGAATGCCTTCTTGATTAAAAAGGACAATCATACAGTCTTTACTGGGGGAAAAAAAACAACCTTTCTGAATGCAGATTTTGTAATGCATAAAAATTAACCAGTTATTTTTCAGCCAGTTTCCTTCATAATACAGAATTGTAATGATTGCACATACAGTTTTGTAATATCTTAGGATCTTCTTCATCGTCTCAAGAGCAAAAAGCACTTACTCAACACAACTCCCTCCAGATCAACTGGTAATACAATCACTATATATCTGGAGCACATAGATTGGGTGAAGCTTTGCCCAGAGATATCAATCATCATTATTTATACTGGAAGGTTTTGTAAAAATCCTCTGAATTTCCTTGTATATAATTATTGCACTATATTTTACCTGCTATTCTTCATACCCAACGTTTGTATTTTATATTTATTTATTTTTATCCCATCTTTATTAGTTTTACAAATAACTCAAGGCAGAGAACATATCCAACACACCTTCCTTCTTCTATTTTCCCCACCACAACAACCCTGTGAGGTGAGTTGGGCAGAGAGAAAGTGACTGGCCCAAAGTCACCCAGATGGCTTTCATGGCTAAGGTGGGACTTGAACTCACGGTCTCCCGGTTTCTAGCTTGGTGCTTTAACCAAGAGAATTTTCCTGGCTACTAACATTAAAAAAAAGAAAGAAAATACTCCCTTTTTATGAATCTGTAATCCCTTAATTTGGGGTAGAATCAGGGTGACAGGAGAGTACTGAGCATTTACTGGCTGGATGCCATTCCTGACGTCATGCGGTGTTCGCAGCAGATATTTTTTCTTTGTGCCCTAGGAGAGAAACATCTGCCACTAACTAGGATTCAACTCTCAACCTTCAAGTAGGAGGCGAGAGTCTTCACCACTAGGCCATCATGCCGCTCATTTTGAAACAGAAAATACCTTCAGAATTTAGATATGCATACAGACATTAACACGGAGAGCCAGTTTGGTGTTGTGGTTAAAACATCAGGAAGATAGTGAGTTCTGGTCCTACTTTGGGCATGAAGCTGGAGCTGAGTGACCTTGAGCCATTCACTTTATCTCAACTCTAAGAAGGAGGCAAGGGCAAACCAATTCTGAAAAAGCTTGCCAAGAAAACTGCAGGGACTTGTTCAGGCAGTCTCCTAGAATTAGATACAACTGAATGGAAGAGAAAACAAAAAAGCATTAACGGCCCCAATCCTACATAGGCAGTTTGTTATTCCACCGTTGAAATATCATGTTTTAAAGTGTAAAAGTCGTCACCTAACTGAGCAGGTTTCCCTATTTTTTTCCCCAGATCTAAAAGAAAACATAAATACTATAGCTCCTAGAATTTCAGAATAATTAAACTAATTAGCAAAGCAAAAGCATTAGAGTAGAATCCAGTTGATGGGGTCTATTTAATGATGGTATCTTCTTGGCAGGTCTGTTCAGGATGGCTGCTTGAGCAGTTGTTGTTTTTTTTTTCCCTTTTGAGTTGCTGCAGCTTTATAATCACTTGACAACCCTAATTCCTGCAAGCCCTTTGGGCAAATGGGGATTAAAATGGCAATGGCATGTAAGTAAAAATAAACAGGCAACTTGAGCAGCTGGATTCTTCTGACACTACAGTGATCTTAAAGACTCTTCCAGTGTCACCAACATTATCAACATGCACAGAAAAAAAAAACTTTTACTGATAAAATGCAAAAGAGAAAATTACAAAAATAAAATAACAGATGGGCAGGGGGAGAGCCTTCCAGCTCTTTCTATTTCCAGCCCCATCATTTGCAAGGAGCATATCTGTTTGCAAGGGACTGGGGGGGGGGGGAGAGCTGCTTCTTTATTTCTGCCTCAAGAATCTTATTTTTGGTAATTATGACTAACAGCTATCCCAAAGACGCTTTAGCTTCAGCAAGCTGTCCAAGTTTTCCAAAGCCACTTATGCCCATAGTTATTATCTCAAACTCTCTGCAGTATTTTCTTTGATATTTCAAGGAAAACATTCCAGGCAGAGAGGGTTGGCAACACATAGACCTACATGAGGGTCCAGCCAGAGCAAACAAGAGAATGATAGAACTGTGTTTCAATGACAGGGGATAATGAAAGGGACAGCATTACCTGTTGTTGCATGCTATAAAAAAAAAAAAAGGAAAATCATGAATATCATATTCTGCCTTTGTATATCCTACTGCTAAATGTTGAGGATGAACAAGGTCATAAGTGCAGTCTCAGGCAGCAAGATTCTTACTGATACCAGGTTTTCCACACACTCTGTCTCTTGGCCCCATTCAACCACGAAAGCAATTCTTACATTTATAATCACCAGAATAAGGTGAAGGGATAAGAGCATATCTGAACAGTTTTTATTTTGGAGACAGGCAATGTCTGGAATGACGTGGGCTACGGAATACTTCTCCATAATGAACAGAGAGGTCTCTGAGGCTCCTGTAGCTCAAGTCTCTGTGTTGTTGTTAATTGTGAAGTCGTGTCCAACCCATCACGACCCCATGGACAACATTCCTCCAGGTCTTCCTGTCCATCTTCTGGAGTTCATTTAAGTTCATGCCTACTGCTTCAGTGACTCCATCCAGCCACCTCATTCTCTGTCGTCCCCTTCTTCTATTGCCCTCAATCTTTCCCAGCATTAGGCCCTTCTCCAGTGAGTCCTTCCTTCTCATTAGGTGGCCAAAGTATTTGAGTTTCAACTTCAGGATCTGGCCTTCTAAAGAGCAGTCAGGGTTGATCTCCTCTAGGACTGACCGGTTTGATCGCCTTGCAGTCCAGGGGACTCGCAGGAGTCTTCTCCAGCACCATAGTTCAAAGGCCTCCATTCTTTGTCGCTCAGCCTTTCTTATGGTCCAACTTTCACAGCCATACATTGCAACTGGGAAAACCATGGCCTTGACTATACGCACTTTTGTAGGCAGGGTGATGTCTCTGCTTTTTAGTATGCTGTCTAGATTTGCTTGGGGGGGATAGGCATATGTTTTTTTTCAGGAATGTAGCTTTAAAGTTTGGTTTTCATGGACCACCAAAGCAGCCAGGCAGGATAATCCTGATCCTAGCAACTGAATTAAACCAGACAATACAGAAGTGGAGTATATCAGGACGGGTGATAAAGATCAGGGTAAAACAAGTGCACTGGCCACAGAAAATGCTTTGCATCCCTCC